CATTGATGAGTGGGATGGTACGGCAATTGATGTGTGGGATGGTACGGCCATTGATGTGTGGAATGGTATAAACATTGATGAGTGGGATGGTACGGCCATTGATGAGTGGGATGGTACGGCATTGATGACTGGGATGGTACGGCATTGATGAGTGGGATGGTACGGCATTGATGAGTGGGATGGTACGGCCATAGATGAGTGGGATGGTACGGCCATAGATGAGTGGGATGGTACGAACATTGATGAGTGGGATGGTACAGACATGGATGAGTGGGATGTTACGACCATGAATGAGTGGGATATGGCCATGGATAAGTGGGATGTGGCCATGGATGAGTGGGATATGGCCATGGATGAGAGGGATATGGCCATGGATGAGTGGGATGTACGATCATGGATGAGTGGGATATGGCCATAGATGAGTGGGATGTGGACATGGATGAGTGGGATATGGCCATGGATGAGTGGGTACTGGCCATGGATGAGTGGGATATGGCCATGGATGAGTGGTTGTGGCCATGGATGAGTGGGATAAGGCCATGGATGAGTGGGATGATAAGATCATGGATGAGTGGGATATGGTGATGGATGAGTGGGATGTGGACATGCATGTGTGGGTTGTGGCCATGGATGAGTGGGATAAGGCCATGGATGAGTGGGATAAGACCATGGATGAGTGGGATATGACCATGGATAAGTGGGATAAGGCCGTGGATGAGTGGGATGATATCATCATTGATGAGTTGTATGATACGGCCATTAAAGAGTGGTATGATACGGCCATAAAGAGTGGGATGATACGGCCATTAAAGAGTGGTATGATACGGCCATAAAGAGTGGGATGATACGGCCATTAAAGAGTGGTATGATACGGCCATAAAGAGTGGGATGATACGGCCATTAAAGAGTGGGATGATACGAACATGCATGAGCGGGATGATACGACCATAGATGAGTGGGTTTATACGGCCATGGGTTAGTAAGATGATATGACCATGGATGAGTAGGATGATACGGGATTAGAAGTAGAAATGAATTAGGCAGACACACGAGGCTGATACAGTTAAAGGAGTCATGGCCCTGGGGTGATGCAATGGAAGATTGTACAGAAAGGAGGGAGTTAAACAGATAGACGTGAAGAATGAGAGGAGGTAAAAATCAGCAAAGGCGTGTTGAGGGCGCCTCTTTAAAAAAGGAGAATGGTAACAAAAATGTTGAAAAATGTGCCCCAGAAAACTGGATTTGGCTGACACCCTCTTTCACTAAATCTCATACACACAACTGCCAAAAATATCTCGAGGGTGATGCCCCTCTTTTTTTTTTTTTTTCTTTTTTCTTACTCGACTTCTTCTTTATCTTTGTAAATAAAGTATTCCAAACCACCTTGAGTTGGCACTTGGCTACCCACCACATGGTACACTCCAAAAATATCTCGGGGGTGATGCCCCTTTTTTTTTTTTTTTTTCTTTTTTCTTACTCGACTTCTTCTTTATCTTTGTAAATAAAGTATGCCAAACCACCTTGAGTTGGCACTTGGCTACCCACCACATGGTACACAAGCAGACTGCTTGCGAAACAAAGGAATGTTCTCAACTTGACCCCCACCGTTTCTGCCCAGCCCCGATTGAGAAATAGAAATAATTTAATAACTTCAGGAATTTACTAGCCGTCGGAGATCAGCTGTACTGTTGGGTATTTTCTATAGTCCGACGGCTGAAGTCGGAAGACTCATGGAAACGTCAGGAGGGCACTGTGATGCGAGTTGGTAGGTGTGCACATTGAAATGCGTTCACTTCTTTTTACATCTGCAGATGTTCACCGGAAAACGACTGGCGAGTGGCGACTGGATAAGTGTGCAACCATCCCATCTAAGCGAGTGGCGACTGGATAAGTGTGCAACCATCCCATCTATCTGGAAACAAATTTAAAATGAGATGGTGTGGTCCGAAGTCTTAATTTCAAAGATACTTAGCCGTGACATAAACGCGTATAGCTGTAAGTGGAGAATCATGCGACACAGGCACCTCTAAGCGTGGAGCTTTGGTGTCACACGTCTTCAGTTGCGGTACTTGTAGAGTGTAAAACACGTTCAATAAAGTTGTTGATGACAATAATTCCTTTTTGGATATAAATAAAAAGGCTGTGGCTATTCACGCCCGGGCACCAGAAGTGAGAGGTTGGGATTAAAAAAAACTATTTAAAATATTATTGTCTAATGGGACCCGGGTGCGCATGGCGGCGCTGCGTGTCCGGGGCTATTCGGGTGTCATTTGTGGTCGTGTATTTTAGTTAAACTCAAGATTTAAGTTAACAAACTATATAGTCCATTCAATTATCTTTCATTTGATACCTCATTTTGTCTTACAAAATCAACAATAATATTTTAAATAGTTTTTTTAATCCCAACCTCTCACTTCTGGTGCCCGGGTGCGAACAGCCAATTCGAAATAACAAAGCGATGCAAGTTTCACAAAAAGGTGAGCCATCTTTCTCCCCCCCGGGCCCAAGCCCATCTCCCCAAATTTAAAAAAAACAACAACAAATAATAACAATTTCCCCCAAAACAAACATGCATGCGCCAGGTTAGGGTGGTAGCCGTCATAGGCACCAATATCATTGTCCCTCCATCACGCTCTGCTTAAAGTTGGACCTGACAGCTAAGCAGCACGGACATAAAGACCTCCCCCATGCCTTCGCCTCGCGTATGACATAAGAGGACGAGGCTTCTGAAATGTCTCCTAAACATTTCTGGGGTTGGAATGAATCTATTTGACGACCCTAAACTACCGCCCGTCTCTCCGACACCAGAAACAGTCGATCATTGAAACAAAACGGGCTCCCATGGATCGTTTTCTTCAAAGAGCAAATTTGTATTGCTCTTGCCTACACCAGAGCTTTCATCACGCAGCCACGTACTTGTCCCCACTACTTATTATACATGATAAAGGAAAAAAAAAGAAGACTTTTACACAATAATCAATTTGAAATTAAAACACAGATAACCAAAGAAATATATTTATTATGCACACAAAAAAAATTTACCACAATAATTATGTTAACAACATTTTAAACTTACACATTTACATCATTTTTTTTCCCCGTTCAAATATATTATAACATTACAGAAAATTGTCAGATTTCAAACAACATCAATAAACATATGTCAACCTTAAGAAAGCAATAGAGTAATTATGCATACACTTGACTGATGGGTAACTGCCTAATTTATTATACACGCTTTCCATGAACTTTTACTTTTTAATGAAAGATATCCAGGAGATGTAGAATACCTCTTGTACATGTTGACACAACACATTAGTTTCCCTTTGTTCTCTTCACAATTGAATTAACCACCAAGGGAGTGAACACTACAAAAGGAATGTTGTACAATTGCCAAAACAAAAAAACCAACACAAAAACAAAAAAGAACAACAAAAAAAAAACAAAAAAACAAACAAACAAAAACCGACAAATGAAAAACAACAAAAGTACATATGACAAAATTAAACACCGAACTATATAAATTTCTTTTTTTTCAATAAATATGCGTAGATATAAAACTAGTTTGGTTGAAATTAATTGCTCACAGCCGAATGACAAAAAATAAATCTGGAACACTGGAATGGAAATTACATTGTACTGTTAATAATGTGTTATAGGAATGAAATAGAACAAAAGTTCAATAGAACTAACATTATCATACAATATATCAGCAAAACAAAATAGTACCTACGTTTTTTCTTAGGTTGCTCTGTTCGTTTGTTTGTTTGTTTTTGGTGGAATCTTGCAACTCAATTTTGACCCACTTCCTCATGTCCAGTAAACTTACTTTTTATTTCATGGGCGCCCCACGCCCTTTTAGTCCTATGAATAACAAGTGTAAAGCTTTGGGGGAAATTTATTTTATACTTTTTAGTACGGTATACTTTTTAGAAAAACGTCTTTAAAAAATGAATTATATTGTTTTATTTAACCTCAAAATAAAATAGATCAAGTTGTATTTCTGGTATAAATATTTAAAAAAGGGAGACCACTATACTCTCATTTCCACATGGTTTCAAATTTTTTTTAAAATTGCACTCAAATTATAACTTTGCAGAACAACCTAATTTTTCAAAAAAGTATTTTTATTCAGGGTAAGATAGAAATTTGAAGTAACTTTAAAACACTTGAAGAAATTTACAGATGCCTTCAGAACCTGTTAGGACACTCAAAGGGAAAACACGTCAGCGTCCTTTTTCAATGAGCTCCTGAAATTCCTCAAAACATTTAATCTCTTGCTGAAGGTTATCTAAATCAATATACAATATGATAATTTATATCTGTAAGGAAAGTTGGCAAGGTGACCAACTGAGATTCAGTGTGTGTTTTACTGAGCCATCTCAGGAAGGCATGGTATTACATGGATCTGTGCTTGATGCACTTTCTGTAGACAACCGAGATGCTGTTTAAGGACATGTCCTCTTCAGCTGCCATATATAAAGGAAGTCTAGGTTTCAGTAATATTAGCAGCACAATTTGGGACCCAATTATAGCGGAAAGTCCATTATGAGCAGACTACTGCTAAAATAAATAGTAGTAAATATTATTACCGTGACTAGATAACTGTGGGAAAACAATCAAACTCTCTCCAGGTATATATCTAAAGTTAAACAGATGCCACCAGTAAAAATATAAGCATTCTATTTGTGTTTTAAATGTGGATGAAAAGAGCCACCAGAGGGAGCTAAATATAATGATAGCTAATGCTGTCTTTAATGTTGTGATCTGTGTGAAGCACAAATGGAGGCCAATTATGTCATAATTCATTATAACATTGAAAATAACACATTTTTTCCGGTGTACCCAGTTTGAAGAATCAGACAATGAGTACATTTTAATTTGTTGTTGATTTCAAACAATAATAAACTGTCACCTGTAATTGCACAAATGATTGGCCCTTATTTCAACCAATGAAAACAAGCTGTTTTCACATTTTAATTCACTTTCCCCAAATGACTCAATTTAAGTTCATTTCATTATTTATCCGAATAGTTCCTTGCTCTAACAAGGCAACAGAGAACAAACTCTGCGATGGATCTTATTGAAAATATGTCAAAGTCAAAGCAAACAAAGTAAATGCTGGGTACAATACCTGTATGGTCATATACTGAAGACTATGGCGGCACTCAAAATCTATTTGTTGAGATACACACATAATGTACTAAGGTTAAATAAGACACATTTAAATTTCGTGAGACGGTGGTCGGGTGAAGTAAACCAGTAAAGATGCTGTACCCCAGTTTTCCCTTGTTATTCACCACAGTAAAATGTATAGATATATTTTACAAGGTGAAAACTGTTTTAAGTGACAGGCAAAATAAGATGAGTTTTAGTATTAACAAGTCATGACAGACACAATACGTGGAGTGACAGACACAATCAGATGAGTGAGACACAATAAGATGAGTTTTAGTATTAACAAGTCATGACAGACACAATACGCGGAGTGACAGACACAATACGTGGAGTGACAGACACAATAAGATGAGTGAGACACAATAAGATGAGTTTTAGTATTAACAAGTCATCATGACAGACACAATAAGATGAGTGGCAGACACAATAAGATGAGCTTTAGTATTAACAAGTCATGAAAGAAACACGCTGATAGCCATATTGAACTAGATACATTTGTCTCCAATGACTAGATGATTTAAACCCTTGAAGCCTCTTATCTTTTATTTAGAGCAATTACAACTTCAAAGTCAAATTTCATCACGTTTTACAAGTATCTATTATACATTTTATAATTAATTGCTGATCACATTTTAAAAGTTTCTATTATACATATAATAATTAATTGAAATATTTTCTGTCATCATATCACAGTACAGCCCTACTATAAAACATAGGTAACACATTGTCACTAAAATTACAACAGAAAATAGTTCTAAATGCAAGGAATTAAGAAACAACAGCAATAAAATTATCAGTATAAAGATCTAATTTAGATAAATTAAGATTCACATTCAGGATTGGTCATGGACACAACACCAAAACCATTTTAACAATATAGTATGAAGAGATCTTTATAGCATGTATAGCAATGGTCAACTAGTGTGTATCCTTGGCATTTTGACCATTACTTCCCACAGTCCAACTCTGTCCTTCATTAAAAACCTAAAAAAAATACACCCCTTTAATATCTCTTATGAACAAACTTTTATCATGGGAAAGTTAACGTTAGAGCTGCTAAAAATAATTAAGCTATTTCTAATAATTTCTAATACCACCATCTAATCACACGAATTCAATTTGATAACAACCAGATAAAAAAATATTGCACTTAATGAAAACAATAGCAATAGTTCTGTTGGTTTTGTTAACAAGCACACATGACAAGAACAGTGGCTCAATAACATTTTACAATAACTTGGTTAGCGTGTTATATAGATGAATTTCCATTATATCATCTTTTAAAATTGATCGCTATACGTGAACATTATAGTGGAACTGGAATACTTTAAAACCAGCAGTGTATACCTACAAGCAATTTACTGAACCCACACAAAACAGGTTTCCAAACATGTGTTACAATTCTGTAAAGCTATTTATTAAAGGTGTTTTCAAGCTAGGGCCTTGTGCATTATATTCAGGTGACTTTTAAATTTTATTTGTCTACTTCTTGATTATTTATATGGGGTTTGTTATTCCTATCAACCTATAGTTAAATAAATAGTTAATATAATCACCAGAAGGCTTCTTGGTAAAATATTTTACTTCAGAAAGATATCATGATATTTAACTATACTATAACTAAAGTTTGTGTCATTGGATTAAATTATACAAGGATGCCTTTCACTTTCAAGGTTTTGGTGTTTCTTTGTTTGTAAAACATGAGATGAAATTGACTTGACATGAAAAGACCATAAGACAGCTTGTTTGACTAGCTTTACACAATGCTGTGACAGGCACTATGAGCTGTCTATTACATACAGAGAGAACTGAATTAGATCTTACATTATAAAGAAAACTTGATATCTTTCATAGGTGCTTAAAATGTTGCAGTTTGAGATTTGATATTTTCTTGTAAATTGAAGTGACAGTGCAGGGCAACCAGCAGTTTTATAAAAACAAATTTATTAAATAGTATACAAGTAGCTGCAAAAGGTGTGTTTGTGTGTGTGTGTCAGTTTGAGTTGTGCCAGTTGACATAAGGAAACCATAAAACCAAAACATTGATACAAGAATAGTGTACATTCTTATTTATACATGTGTTTTGTTTTTTTCTTTTTTGTTATCTTTTTAAGCGCAGGGATTGCCAAAAGAAATCACTTGAAATAGTTTCTTAGAGTTGTTAATCAGAAGTAATAAAAGCAGGTTTTAAATACCATTTCATTTACTGAGAAATAAAATGATGCAAATAAATTAATATAGTGATGAATCCAAAAAGTTAATTACAATTTGTGCATCCATTAGGTACACTTACAAAAGTACATAGTTCGAAACAGAAATAATGGAGAGAAAAAAATAGTTTTTTATGGTTATGGTTTTATAACAAAATGATCTATTCAACTGGTTAAAAAAAATGATTGAAAAATCATGTAATACGAAGAAAAAAAGCTATTCCACATAGGGGTGTTGGATTCACAAGTGGTAGCTACAATTAAACCACTGATTCCCACGCCTTTTATTTCGTTCTCTTTAAAAAAATGAACACCTCTTTCTTCTTGTTACAGCCCAGTTGTACTTACAAATCCCAGCTAAAGAGATGATGTTTCACCAGCATGTCCTTGACACCTTCCTTGAAAGGTCTGAAGGAGTCCATTTGCCTTGGCAGTTCCCAGTCTCTGGACAAGCTGAAGGAGAACTGACTAAGGAGTCTGCAATGTCCAGGATGGGCAAGACATGGGGGTTATACATGAGTGAAACACTAAAGTATGTTTTTAAAGTTACATATGTTCAATTAATTGTAAAAATTAACAGCAAAAATTGTAACATTTTTCTTTTTTCCCCCATCAATTTTTATGCTATGGACAAGAACAAACTAAGCCAATAAGACTGAAGCCGTCTTCGGCACAAAAATTGGATGCTTTAATTTTTGTGTGTCTTTCTTTATCTCTTTCTTTTCATTTTAAATGTAATGTTATGCTCTGTTTGATTTCCTAGATCATGTGCTATTTATTTTCTTTAATAAAACTTTAATGCAGCCTCCCCTGGATTTTTTGCACAAAACAATTCAAATTCATTTTCTTCTAAAACGAGGTCTCTATTTTTCTATATATACAGGATAACTTTCTGTAAAGGAAACAGAAACATATGAATGTCTCATCTTTAAAATAAATCTAAAATATTATTTTTGGTTTGTACCATACCTTGTGAAAACTTAAACATGTATGAAGTTAACTGTATCTTTCCAACTAATTTAGATCCAATGATTATTCACATAGATCATTATTTACATTGTGAAGGTGTGATGAAGTCATGCAGATAAGTTGTAACAATATAAAATATAATACAACTGATGTCTTGATTTAAAAAGTGTTTTAGTGCTTATAATTGTGCAACAAAGCGGTGAACATGTCACAAAAAGCCACCACACTTATAGGAATCCCTTCCTTTTTGGATAAGGTGATCTCTATAAATACATGAGGATAACAGAAAAACTACTGTGAGACAACCCAAATGTTACAAGGTAGTGTAGAAGAGTTCAACTCTGAAACATGATGTTTACACTAACTACATTGAAAGCTGAAACCATGCACTAAGATAACATAGAATGAAAATGAGAGGCTTTACCTCAACGCCGAGTTGTTGCTGCAAGATTTACTTGACACCAATAACACAACAGATAACATGGAGTTGGAATAACTTTTTTAAACACCTCGGATTATCGCAGGGTTTTCTAACATGGCATGATTGAAATTAAAGTGAAGTTAAATGTAACTAGTTGTAATGCTTTTTAAATGAAGTTTTTTTCCATAAATATTGCTCAGGTCTAGCCAGCGATCAAGATATCAAAATGTGTATTTTGAAATCTCTATTAAAAATTAAAAATAAACGGCGTTTTAGTGGGAAGTGGCTATAAGTATCAATGGATTATTAAATAATTATTTTGCAGACAAAAAAAATATATATTTTTTAAAACATAAAATTAACTAATCAAAATTTACTACAGTTAAAAAAAATTAAGCAAGTCATAAATAATTTCTCACTTGACATTTGAATTATATAACAAATGGCTTCATTAAATGAAAGTTTTAAAAATATAAAATTCAAAGAAACTGCCACATTTATACAAGACCTTTTTAATTAGAGGAGATCTGTAAAAATTCAGACAACTAAATTAAATGAAAAGGAATAGCTCTAAACAGTTTTCGAGTGTGGTATTAGTGTGTGTTGTAACTGGTAGCATAATAAAACTATACATTTCACAAAGTCCAGTGCGTGAAACATTAATTTTCAGTTTGAACTACAACCAAAAACAAAACCCAACACTTAATACTTGTTATGAGATGATTTCAATATACCACCAGCACAAGCAGCACCCAGGATTAATCAAGTCAATGATCCAGACAATGGATTCACACAAAAAAAATCAACCTGAAAAACAGTTCCCAAAAGCCATCACCAAGTTTAGAGCTACAACATGTTGGACAGTAAAGGGCGGATTCATCCAGATCCATCACCAAGTTTAACCCCTGGTGTAGGGGCACTGTGCCCTCAGATATCTAATCCCTTAATAATCCACAGTCAGAAGGGCAATTTGAAATATTTGACAGTTGGTATATGAATATTTCAAACAGAATAAAGACCAAGATCATGCATGATCAGAGCAAATAGTGTCAATCAGAGCTTTAATTTAACCAAAGAAATAAGTACTGTACTCAGCGTATGGGTTGCGGAACTATTATTTTATAATTTATTATACAATAAAAATTCATCATTGCATAATCTTGATAATTTAGTTTTTTCTTTAAGTTGATGCTACCAAAGAAACATTATGTTGTATTTATTTTTGATGTACGGAAAACACTGCAGCAGACTAAAAAGAAATTCAATTTATTTCATTATAATTAAAAATAATTTGAAATCTCCAATATGAAAAAAAATAACAACAAGATATGTTTTAATATTAAATCCATGATAAATAATTACCAAAATGTTCTTTTATCAATATCTATTGAATTTCAGCCCTGTGGCAAAGAACTGTTATTCCTAATATACCAGTGTGCTTAGAATAAGTACACTATATGATAATACTACTTCATTTCTCAATAATACTTTTTAAAGCCAAACCATTATTTCCTAAGAGTGATTCTCAGTCCAATCACCATGTGGTAAAATATTTGAAAGTGCCCTTCCGATAAACTGACAGTTACAAAGGTGGGAGCAAAATTAAGATTACTTCACGTTAGAGATCCCAGCTAAATAGGTGGTGCTGGATTAACATATCACAGACACCTTCTCGCAAATCATTGCGGCGGCGGAACTTCTTCTTCGGGAGTTCCCAATTCATTGAGAGATTGAAGGCAAACTCGGCTAGAATTCTGTAATTGAGGAGTTCAAAGAGTGCTATTAATGCATTTACAATTTGTTGGGACTGGATCAGCTAAAAATGTTTCCATGGTAATGTTAGTCATTGAACTCAGTAGAAGAAGACGGTAGGTGATCATGAACCAAAGTTTTAAAATTAAAAAAATTATATGAGGTTTTTGGCATGTAAAGCTCCTTTCTAAAGGAAGCAGATTAATGCATTTCTATTATAATGTCTAAATTTACTTTTATGAAAGTACTCAATTGATAATTATATATTTGCAAATAATGGAGAAAAAAAAATAGTGATAAAAAAATGCATAAGTAAAATCTATACATAAATGACACAAATCAAATTTAAGAAGATACAACTTTGTGGAGGTAGACTTATAAATAGAAATTTGCAACATCAAGATTCTTCTAAAAGTATATAGTCAAATGTAAAAATAGGCTTATGCACCATGATTTCAGAGAAAGTTGAGTAAGGTAAAATATAATTCAAATAGATTATGTCCTATTAAGGGAAGACAATTTTATCCATACCGCTAAAAAGATAAAAAATGACATTAAGTTATCAAATCTTGGTAATAAATATTATTCAAATTATCAATCCACAAAGGCCAATGTTTCAGGTATGTTGGAATGTCAAAGTCCACTCAGGTCTGCATAACACAGTTCCAGTTTTCAGCATGAAGAAATAAATTCAAACAAATACTTTTTAGCACCATGAAACCACATATGATATGTTAAACTTTAACTCGGAACATATGTAAATAGATTCCTAAAATCCTTAACTGCCAGTATGTCCAACAATATAGGACCATTTTGTGAAGAGTGACAATGGGACTCTCACGCTATAGTTGGCCTGGAACCGATGTTTCTCCTTTTCTACACAATAAATTCCCAAGATTGCTGCTATAGTTCCCAACTGAAAAGGTGGTAAGTCACAAGAATATCTTTAGCACCCTGAATTATGGCATCTCTTGGATCTGGTTGGACAGGCAGTTCTCTTGTGAGAGAAAGCTGAAATGAACAGGCTGCTAAAATTCTGCAAAAAGAAATAAAAAAAAAACAATCTTCTCTTGCGGATGATACTATTAAAAAAAATTTAGTGCCTAAAATAACTGGCTTATAATTCTATATACGTAAAGCACAATTTCGTAGATTTTTAAATTTACTCTTCTTTCAATTAAATTGATTCCTCAAATACAAAGAGAGTATATAGTCTTTTTTTGTTTGGTTCATGTAAAGTGAAATGAAAATTTATAAGCTGAATTTGTTTGTTAATTAACAAAATGTATTAAGCCTATGTAAAGGACAAAAACGTTTGCTTTGCTCTAAGGAAGGTGAGACCCTTCCTACTGACAGCCTCATAAAAGAGTGAACAACAACAACCCAAACTATACCAGATTGTCCACCAGAGTTTAAAAGCTAAATTAATATTGCCAAAATAATCCCACCACTATAAAAATAAGGACTTTAAAAACAAAGAATTTAATATTTGGTCTTTCCAAAAAAAAAACAAAAAAAAATGTTTCGGCGGTAAATGACGGGGGAGGGGGGGGGGGGGGGAAGGCACGTATGAAAGTCATCACTTTATCTGGCATGGATGTCAAAAGCATAACTCTCACCTGCCGTTTAACTATCCCATGAAATGCTAAGAAGACGGTAACATGCAGCTAAGTATGCGCCGTAAGAGAAGGGAATCAGAACTATTTCTCAGATCGATAAAAGCGATGAATTAACTCAATCAAAATACGTGACGTTTGAAGTAGCGTCACTAAAGCTTTACCCGCCCACTCCCCCCCCACCTCTCAAACCTACTTAGGTTTTTTCTTTCTTCTTCTTTTTTTATCCCTTTTCAATGAATCATCAAGTTCAAAGATGAGATAAATAACCTATGAAAACAAGTGGCAGTGGGTACGGGGACTACGAGCATTCCAGACAGAGAGCCGCGCGGAATGCCAGCAATGCATTTGTTTGTGATTGGGGGCGAAATCGTGGAACGATCGGCAGCTCTTTCAAATTGAGAGAAATCCAATAATTTATTGATTTAACACGACTGTTTAGTAGAAGAAATGTGAGTCGTCTTTTGCCTCCCACCACCTTGTAATCAACCTTTTTTTATTTTTCCTGCTCTTGGCCTAAACATTGGAGGCCTAGTATTTGACTGGAGTTTTTTTTTTATTTTGTTCGCTATGGCACGAAACAGTTCTTTATAGCGACTGGCCAAAACAACACTACACGCATACATTTTTTAGCTTTAAATTAAGATGTTTTCCCATAAAACTATTTAAATCCTTTGCGGAGGTTTACAAAGCTGATATGTACGGGGCCACGTTAGTTACAGGGGACGCTTACGAAAGAGAAAAAAAAAAAGTTGTGGAAAACACGTGTAAATAGAAAAATAGACAACAACTAAACAAAACCGGGGAGTTTCATTTTAAATCAATAAGTTTGCAACTTTCTAGAGGGAGGTTGGCCTCTTATATTATTTTGTATCTTTTATTTTCTATGTTTGCAATTTCATCCCACGATCGGATGTGTCTGAAAATCAATCTTGGCTAGTATTGAAAGCTATACATTAGTGTTGTGTCTTAGGGTAGGAACATCTTTTTTTTAAAATCAAGGCAAGCGTATACCAACAGGGCTTACTGGTAGGTATTCACTGTAGGTCCAATAACCCCGGCGAGTGGAGGAACGCTTTCTTATTTTAACTAAATATTCTTTAGAATATCTACTTTTTATAGATTCGGGGAAAAAAGTTATTTAGATTTCAACTCTGGGAAATATGTTTCAGAATATCCGTTTCAACCTTCAGCTCCAGTTTCTTTGATCAAAATAAAGTACCGTCCTGTTGAAAGTTTAAAAATGAAACCAATATATGTGGCACGCTCTTCACTTTAGCGTTCAAATAAGGTATCACCCCCTGCCCAAAGAAAAGTTGTGAAAATGTAAAGGAAACGATTGATGATGAATCACCTGATGGTAATCACCAACATTAGTTAAGCCAGTGTGCACCTTGTGTTGCTTGCCAGGAACATACCACACGATCCGATCATACCGTTATAATTTCAACCCCCACCCTTTTCCCCCACTCCTTGAAAACAAAAAAAAAACTAATTTCCCCATCTATTAACCTAAATTTCACCATGAACCCATTATGGACTGCAACGAAAGAAAGAAGCTCCCATACCCCCCCCCCCTTTCCCCACCCAACCAGCCCAACTCGACACACCATTGCCAAAAAGACCACCGCCTCTGAATGCATTTGATCAAAGTAAACATTCCAGCCCTCCATGAGTGCCACTCCTTATCAACTCTATCCTCACACCAATGATAATCATATGATAAGACACTTATCAGGGCTTCTCACGCTGAATATTGATAACAATTATTAAAATCAACAATAAAAAAACACACCAAAAGATGTTTGAAAAAAGCGTCATCAGTATATTATGTTTGAGATTTTATTTTGTAACTAACGAGTAAAATTAATTATGTCAATCCCTAGTTATGCAAATAGTAGAACTTTATAGGACCCACCTAATTATGTCAGAAATCCCCAAAAATGTCAGCTCTGAGCAGGCAAAAAATGCAGGAAAATAAAAATCACTAATTACGGATCTTTTTGAATTCTTAAAACCATAGAAATCGGCAGAGAGAAAGAAATGTATTGCATTTTAAAAACCTATTTGTTTAAATTAGCAACATGTAAAGTCAATTTCTAGAGTCCATGGCAGCATCGATACTATCTAAATATTATTGTTATAACGCTATTGTGTGTGTGTGTTCATCTTGACGTTGAGAACCCACATGTTTCTATTATTATAGAACCTGGCAGACACCAAGACAAATATCACCAAATTGTATATGTGTGCTGTCATGGTCACTACCCCCTCTCTCTCTCTGTGTCTGGTGGTCAATCCACAGTTGTTGTTGTTGGGGAGCAGATGGATAGTTCTTAGTCCCGCCAAACAACACATTGCTGATGATCTGGGCCAGAATTGAAATTATAATAGTTTTATAGCCATTAGAAGACACGTATTTTGCAACAAACTATGTAGGTCAATTTATGGTTTTAATTTTTTGTTAAAATTATAATTTATAAAAGAAGAATAGAACTGTTGACGTCAATTTTCTTTCACTTCCCCTTCCCTCTTTTCACACCCCCCCCCCAAAAAAAAAAAAACCTCTTATTTGCTGACGTAATTAATGGTCGGCCACTAACGAAATAAGCGCCTTCGAAAGCAGATGTTGGGTACGATTTCTTCAATTATTTTATTTTTAAACATCCTCAAGTTCCAAACATACAAACAATGTGGTAATACAAACAGCCAACCGTTAAAACTATACAAAATCTTGTTTAAACAAAACTTTTGGAAGGTTTATTCTTCACGGTACCAAATAAAGTTTTACATTTGAAAATGACGTCGCCGAAAAAATGTATGGTTTAGAAGACTGCAACTGGTGGGATTGAATTGACTGATTTGAATTGGTATATTAGTTATGCTCCATTAAGATGCATGGTTAAGTAGATAACTACAATGCCACTGAGTCGCATGCTAAAAGAGTTTTGCAATGGATAAGATTAAGTACCGGTTTAAATAAACATAATTGACTTTTTGGTCAATTCATACAATCTCTCTTTTCTGGTGGATCAAGCAAAAGACTACTGCAAAAATGACACCAAAATAATCTTGAAATGGGATTTAAAAAAAAGTTGAAATTGCTGTATGAAGAAAAGATCAGCGTGATCGGACCACGGCCAATTAATTTAAACCCCAAACACAAATTTGCGAGTCAATCGTTGACAAAGATTGATGTTAGCATTCAGCTGGCAAGGCTTTAGGACAAAGAAGTAAACAAAAAATAAGAAAAACGCATGTGGTTTCGCAAATAGGTCAGTTTCTAGAAAGTATATTCCAATGTTGAGAATCCTAGTGTAATATTTCTGTATTGCACTAATAGAATATTTTTCACAGTATTTAACTGCTCTGCTTGTCGGCTCCCCAAACAAATCTCTTAGATAAAATTTTTATAGTTTGGGATAACTAATGGCCTGACAAAGCCTGAAAACAAAATTATCTTGTACGATAAATGGTTAGGATTGGATCAAAGGCCAGAGATATGTTGGGGACGAATGTTTTATGGTCATTGGTTATGTCTGGGCCAATGGCCAGAAAGTTTGAGAACCAATCCTCTATGACCATTGGTAATATTTTGGTCAATGGCCAGAGAAAAGTTGAGAACTAATGATCTATCATACCAGATGGTTTGCAATAACATCCAGAAGTATTGAGCACAAAGTTTCAACTTAAGAATAAAACGGAAAAAATGTGACGGGGTGGGTTGGCGGGGCCTATTGCTTACGAACTATTTCTTTTGGTGTCAAGTGTGAGATGAAGAACTTTCCACGCCTAATTAGGCAAGCTGTCAAATGCGATATGTTTGGATTATCGTTTCTACGGTTTACCTGGCACTGCCATTAAAAAGTGGTAAAGCCTTGACACTTAGAAACACTTGCTTCTCCACGTTCGCCAGCAGACTCAGCGACCACGGCAGGCAGAAACCCAGTTTCGGCAAGTACGTTGACGCGACCTATATCTCTATACCCTTCCTTCTATCCATGGATACCTTTGCGGGCGGAAATTCATAACTAAGTCTGTCACGTCGGAAAAAAAAAAGATAACATTTATGAATTCATTAATTAAGACTGGAAAACTCTGAAAAAATGTAATTCTTTTTCTTTAAAAAAACTGAAAATGACATCACAAAGTTTATTTGTCATACTTAAAAAAAAAAAAAAAGCAAATCGAGCGTGAGATAAATATTTTTTAATGACTAACATTTTTGGGTAAACAAGACATAAACAGGAGCTCGGAGGTCTGAGTTCGTTTTGCTGTGGACAGTTGAAATATATAAGCCGCAGTAAACTAATTTAGATGACGGTGCCGAGTAGTGGTAGGTGGTTTTTTTAAAAGGGGAAGAATGTGGAATAGCGGTAATTTAATAATTAGGACGGATTGAAAGTGTACAAGAAAGAGCGCGTTGGGTGTGCTCACCTTAAGGACATTTTCAACTGTCCATCTTGCGCCCCACCTACACCCCCTTGGAAACCACGTGCAGTACAGACTTAAACAGTTTTACTCATTTTTTTAAACAATCTCAAGATAAGTCAGATCTTGTTTCTGGGGAAGGGTCAAAGTTACAAAAACAAAAAGTACCCCTTAATATCAGATGTAGGTTTTAAGAGATTTCACTTTTTAAAAAAACAACATGTATGACGTCCCAATCACATTACATACAAATGGATGAAGATACTTATATTTTATTTTAAAATGTATAAATACGGATGGGGAATAACCACGGCGATACCTTGTAAGTCCTGTGGTAATAAAGAGGGAAAAACATAATGATTATGGACTTAAGTTTGACATTTCCTGGGTTTCTTTGTTAATGTTAGTTGTCATGTTTAAATTTCTTTAAATTTTACACTAAAATAGTAACTGTAATTGATTTTACAAATGTTGACACGCACTTCTTAGAAGAACATCTGGAATAACACAGAAATGGGTCGCCCTTAACATAATTGCACAATTGTATAATCTCGACCAACGTGCCCTATTCATTTGCTTTGACTACCATCATTACCATTTAATTACAAACCAGACAGCAGCGGGGAACTAACATCACAAAAGAATGTATCGGCGAACATCGGTTACTCGTTTAGTGAAGACCAAACAAATGTCAAATATCTACGTTTGTAAGACCATTCACTTTATAGATTCGAGAATCCTCAAGAAAAGGATCGATCAAAAACATGCTGACTAATCTTTCTAAAAAAGTCTACGTCTACGTCTTTTTCTAAGTCTAAAACAAAAACTGCAACTTTTTTAAATCAAGAATTAAACTAACGCCCTTGGACACCACGAGCCTCCTAATTAGTCCAAAAAAATTAATCAATGTAATAAAACTACTCCCACCCCAGCTTCCGGTTTCCAGCTACCTCTTGTAGACAGACCAAGAACAGACGGAAAGACAAGCTGCTTCTGGAAGGTTTCAAGTGCCACGAGGGTTCGGCGCGCGCAAAAATACGTTTCCGTTGTGATAGAAAGCACGCGGCCCACCACTTAACCAGGCATTTAGTGCTGAAAGCGGGACCTGGGACTGAATACAAAAGGTACGTTAGTGTGAAATGGTCCAAGACTGAACACACAGTGGACCTTAACGGGGAGACTTTGGCCAAGGTTTTATCTAAAATGGAAACTTAACAGAGAGATTTGGCCAACACTGTACACATGATGAATCTAAACAGTGGGATATTGGTCAACATTGTACATATAATTAGCCCCCAACAAAAAAAACAAACAAAAAAAACACACACACACACACACTAAAATGGGATATTTTGATCAAGACTGAATCCATAAGGGAACTGAAAAGACACTTCGGCCAAAATGTACACACCAGGAGCGCAGAAAGAGAGGCTTTGGAAGATAATGAACTGAAACGGCACGTCAACAAAGAGAGAATTGCTACAAGACCAAACAAGAAAAAATATAACATTCCTTAAATTGGACAACCAAAAAAATGTATAGCTAGTTTTGTCTTCTTAGAGATTTATTGACCTTTCTGTAGAAAGATTCGTGGACGAAGCGCTGCACATTTGTACAACATAATGCCGCCAACGTACACATGAAGGGATGGGGTGTACTTTTTTTTGTGTTAAAGACCCATTATAGCTACAACAGCAACAACGATGGCAGTTTCGCATGGCTCTGCCCAAGGGCAACGCTGCACCCCAGGGTGACGGCACATATTTTGCGAGCCACTGGACAACGCTGCACCCCAGGGTGACGGTGCAAATTTTGCGAGCCACTGGACAACGCTGCACCCCAGGGTGACGGCACATATTTTGCGAGCCACTGGACAACGCTGCACCCCAGGGTGAAGGTGCAAATTTTGCGAGCCACTGGACAACGCTGCACCCCAGGGTGACGGCGCATATTTTGCGCGCCACTGGACAACGCTGCACCCCAGGGTGACGGCGCATATTTTGCGAGCCACTGGACTCGCCTAGCTGCGGAGAAAACCCATGACCGTGACGTCATTGGGTATAAAAAAATTGATTTTTTGGGGTGGGGTGGCTCCAAAAGCTCATTGTAGGTAGGCATAGGGGGAGGAGTGTCTAAAAATAAAAAGTACGCGTGTCAGCGGATGAAAGGGGGGGGACGGGACAATTTTTTTTCTTTTTTTTTTTTTTTTTTTTTNTGGGGGTGAATAGTTAACTATGTCCCGAGCTTCAAAAAATTAAACTTTGACTCTTAAAAAAAAAAAAAAAAAAGGAATGAGAATAAGCTGGAGGCCCTAAAGCAAAACATGCCTGTGGCAATCTTAATTGTCAATCTCACTCAGACAATAGTGACCTGTTCGTTTCTAATGCTGCTGTGAAGTAAACATGTAAAAAAACAAAGTCTTATCTCACACATTGAACGTTTTAGCACGTGCTTGGAAGAGTTACATATTGCGTTCATACTACATTAAAAAAAGGGAAATAGAACTGACATATACAAAATAAAAGGACACAAAAAAAGAACCACTAAGTAAAACACGACCATGTATAAGTCAATTGGTAGGTTCTAAGCTCGGTTTGTAAATGTGTAGGTTCTAAGCTCCGTTTGTAAATGAGCAGGTTCTAATATCTGTTTGTAAATATGTAGGTTCTAAGCTCGGTTTGTAAATGTGTAGGTTCTAAGCTCGGTTTGTAAATGTGTAGGTTCTAAGCTCCGTTTGTAAATGAGCAGGTTCTAATATCTGTTTGTAAATATGTAGGTTCTAATGTCTGTTTGTAAATATGTAGGTTCTAGTCTCGGTTTGTAAATATGTAGGTTCTAGTCTCTGTTTGTAAATATGTAGGTTATAATCTGTTTGTAAATATGTAGGTTCTAATCTCTGTTTGTAAATATGTAGGTTATAATCTGTTTGTAAATATGTCGGTTCTAATCTCTGTTTGTAAATGTGTAGGTTCTAATCTCTGTTTGTAAATGTGTAGGTTATAATCTGTTTGTAAATGTGTAGGTTCTAAGCTCTGTTTGTAAATATGTAGGTTTTAATCTCTGTTTGTAAATGTGTAGGTTATAATCTGTTTGTAAATATGTAGGTTCTAATCTCTGTTTGTAAATTTGCAGGTTTTAGTCTCTGTTTGTAAATATGTAGGTTCTAATCTCTGTTTGTAAATATGTAGGTTCTAATCTCTGTTTGTAAATATACGTTTTCTAGCTTAGAATCCGGAGTGTATGCATACATTTCAGGAGGTCAGAAACTCTGATTTATCGTCTTAACGTCACACAAGAAGTACATTTTCTTGCAAATGATGCAGCAAGTTTGGTTTTGGGGGAGGGGGGGGGAGAAGACTGTTGGATTAAGAACGAGAAAGTCTAAGACTCCATGGTCTATCTATAGGTTAAATGAGTGGAAAGAAAGGCAACTCGAATATCAAAATATGACTTTGGGAATGCGTGACCTTAAGGAAGAACTTTTATTCTCAGCGGTATTAAACAAGGTAAACCTTTCAGATTCGGCGCGGTGAATGGATTGTCAATACAAAAATAGATGATAGATTCTGGCATCAATGACACAAGCAGACAATGACCTTCGGATAAGAAGAAACTGAGCCTAACCCGATTTACCACGCGTTCATCGAATTTCATCTCACTTATTTTGACACTCGTCCCGACCTCGTGGCTTGTATTAATCCATCAGCACCCTTGCGCCGAAACGGCGGAAACTGAAATGTCAAGGACGTTAAGCGAAAATTCAACAGATGTCATAAACGTATCCCTTTAGCAGATACCTACGCGTGCAAATGGTTAAGAGGTTGGGGGGGGGAGGAGGGGAGGAGGAGGGGGGGAAGTGGCGGTGGTGCTGCTGGAAGACGGGGTTAGGTGGAGCCGTTACAAGAGTGAGCTTAAATGATAATTAGCCAGACAAAAGTGTCAGACCACCTGTTTACTGTTACGTTCGACATGGCACGTGGGATCAGCGCCATATTTATAGATCTGCTAAGACAGTTAGTAATAGGTCGTTTTGGTTGTCATCGTATGAAGCACGCGTTTTTGTTTGTTTTTTTTTGTTGCTTTTTGTTGGTGTGGTTTCTTCTCGAGTTCTACAATTTGTCTAAAAGGCAGCTTAAGAAAGTGTCCGATTTGTAAAAAAAATCAGTCTATTTGACCCACTCAAACAAAGGTAGCGGCCATGTGTAAATAATGATTGAACTAAATGATTATTCCATGTTTCTGTCTGCGACTTTGTATAGCATTGCAGGGAACACATCTATATCATACACATCTATAAAAGTAAAAATTTCTTTGAGGGTTTGTTTGTTCCCCATACGTTTTTACATGGATTGATGGACCTTGACCAAAATTCGGCACACATATCCATCGTTATCCAGAAAGAAAGACTAATTGGGGGGGGGGAGAATAACCTTAAAAAATATTCCCCTGGGGCCAGGGGCCTTAAATTTAGTTTTTTTTCTTACATGAGCTGTATCAATAAAATTATCAACAAACACTCCTGCATCAATGGATGGCTCGAGACCAAAACGTAGTACACATACACTTGATGATACAAATTCAAATACCTCAAAGTATCCACGCCTTTGGGACCAGGGGACTCATTTCGTTTTTCCAATCGGGATGCCGATGGGGGCAGGGTCACACCGTGAACGGGATTCCAACGGGATCTAGATTTCGAATCGTATTTTATAAATGAGTTGTTTTTTTTAAAGAGGAGAATTTAAAAAAAAATATTTTTAACATTTTCTTAGCGATGTGTTTTGTTTTAACAGGCCACTTAATTCGATGCTAGGTAACGGCCTGTAAAAGTTGTTTTTCCGAATACAATCGCGGGACACGCCGGGTATATTGGCTAGTGTATACATATTTGGCTATCCTGGGCTCTAACAATTCTTTTCTATCAATATATTTTGTGTAAGTGGAACTCAAAAAGAGGTCGCAACCTACGATATTCACAACGAGGCTTCTCAGAAGGAGACATTTCTAAATGAAGATGTTTCATAATTTTAAAGCGCATTTCTAATAAACGACATTTTCAAAAAAATCATGTTGGGTTTAAATACAACAGTATAATAACAATACAAGATTTTTTTTTCAAATCACACGCTAAGCCTTCTCGGGCTTTGAGTTACAAGGAAATTCCAAACATTCCTCATCAGCCCGACTATGGCTACTTGCATACTGCTAGTACATGGCCATTGATGAACATAGAAGTTTAAAGATAACTAGTATTAGCTATGAGCCGGTAATCAGAGCGGTCCGTCTCTGGAGTGGAGGTAGAAAGAATTTTTCGGTACAGTGGATAAACAACAATAAGGATACTAAATATTGGATTGGACGGCTGTAAATCATTCAGCCCGTTTCAGCTTGAAACATAACCACTAAACATTTAAACATCGTCAATCGTTCCTAGAGCATGGATTGGACTGTTCGAATTTTCCGGCAATACATCAAGTATTTTCCGCCCTCAGAGAGTTTAACCCTCATAAACCTTCCTTCGTGATATCACTCAAGAAACAGATATACACTGCCATCTCAACCGATCTTTCATGGGTAGAAATATATTATCTGGTTGAATACCAATAAAGACGTGTTGTATTGTTCGTGTCTCATCTTGTTGAGGCCCACAAGACAGGGCCACTCTTCGAGTTGTCAGTCCTTACAATATAGTGCTCTATCATCTTACAGTTCACGACTTGAACAGCTAGAGTGACTGGAAATACCAAGAGAATTCTTAAAGAAGGAAAAAGAAGAGGAAAAAAAAATGAAGAGGGCGCCTCTTCAAAAAAAAAAAAAAAAAAAAAAAGAAAAGAATGTCTAACAACGGGCGTGAAAGACAGGTGAGCGATTCAAGCACATCCAGGTAACTAAAAATCTGAAAGGTAAATAAGCATAAGATACAGCAACGCCGACGGACCGAGTTTGTCGTCTGCGCCCAGGCGCTACATGGCAGAAATTTGGCGATACTTGGAGGATGGAGCATCGGCTTGGTAATGCGTTTGCAATAAGCGAGCGATACATCATGTAGAGATGCCAGGGACACTTAGGGTTAATGGCGTAATGAAAACCGAAAAGGTCACGGGGATAATTGGCTACCGAAGGATGTTTAGTGGCAAAAGCAACTACTTTCAACAAATCATTTTTTAGTTCCTTTTTTTTAAAGGTGGTGATTTTAAAAAAAAAATGCAGTGTGATTGTTTTTCTTTGTTTTAATTTTGATGCTAAGACTGCTTTTTGTTGCTGGAGTTCTTGAACTTTTTGATTTAAAATAAAATAAAAAAAAAATATTCCTGCAGTTTAAGGGGAAAAAAAAAGGCAAATTAAATCAAGGTTTTCGTGATTTTATTAAACTATTTTATTACGGATCACAGCCATGAATGTGTTACTTAAATAAGTAAAACAATTTTCTTTTCATTTTAAAAATTCTAAGGCTTTCGAATAGAGAATCCAATAAAACCAAGCAAGAATATTGCTTCTATCACCAGCTCACAAATCTGAAGGCCGTCACAAAAATAGTAGGCGCATCTGTATGTATCTGAGAAATGTCAAGTGAGTCCCTTAAAGAGTAGAGGTCAATCACCTGCCATGTTTTCCTTGGCCATGTTCTAAGCATGTCCCATGAACGAAACCAGCTCATTCCAAGCCAAATAAACTGAAGAGAAGAGATCATCAGATGAAAAGAAAGAAGAGTTGAGCACGGCTTTTTGTATAATAATTGCATAAATAACAGCGCGATTGCCAGTTTTAACTACATTAACAAACAAAAAAAAAAACTCAAAAAGTTTGCTGTTGAGAAAGATTATCTCTCATCAGTGGGGTTAAATACTATCCCTGTGTCGTGACTGAGTGGGTGAGTAAAGTGCAACTATAAAAATGCGCAACGCGTAAAGAGCCTTTTTAGGGAGCTGAGCCAACCAGGCGGACTAATGTTGAGTTCTGTGATAGTATATTTCCGGATCCAGAAATTATCTTTGGTTTCAGCAATAAAAACCAAAACAACAATCGGATCAAGATACAAACCATAATTCAGTGATAAGCAGGATACTGTAAGAAAATGATAAATGTCGCACAGAGTCGTACTTACTTCCAAAAGAGGTAATTTGTATAGGCGAGTTTCATTGTTTTATATGTGTTAAAACATAAATAAGTACACGCACTGTAAGTTATAACATAGAGTGGCATTGTAGGCGTTGTGTAACCATGGCCACAATGTCTAAACCTGATATGTGGACAAGACTTGAAATTTAAAAAAAAACGTCTTTCCCAATTGTATCTTCACTCAATGTTAACAATAGGAAGAAATATTGTTTAATTGCCTCTCACCCCTGGACCACTGTTCATGCCCACCCTTGGACCACTGTTCATGCCCACCCTTGGACCACTGTTCATGCCCACCCTTGGACCACTGTTCATGCCCACCCTTGGACCACTGTTCATGCCCACCCTTGGACCACTGTTCATGTCCACCCTTGGACCACTGTTCATGCCCACACTTGGACCACTATTCATGGCTGCCAATGGACCACTGTTCATGCTAACCAATTGACAACTGTTCATGCCCACCCTTGGACCACTATTTAAGCCCACCCATGGACCACTGTTCATACCAACCCATTGAAAACTGTTCATGCCCACCCTTGGACCACTATTTAAGCCCACCCATGGACCACTATTCATGCCCATCCATGGACCACTGTTCATGACAACCCCTGGACCACTGTTCATGCCCACCCTTGGACCACTATTTAAGCCCACCCATGGACCACTGTTCATGCCAACCCATTGAAAACTGTTAGTGCCGACCCCTGGACCACTGTTCATGCAAACCCCTGGACCACTGTTCATGCCCACCCCTGGGCCACTGTTCATGCCCACCCCTGGACCCCTGTTCATGCCCACCCTTGGACCCCTGTTCATGCCCACCCTTGCACTCCTGTTTCCACCCATGGACCACTCTTCATGCCAACCCTTCGACCACTGTTCATGCCCACCCCTGGACCACTGTTCATGCCCACCCCTGGACCACTGTTCATGCCCACCCCTGGACCACTGTTCATGCCCACCCCTGGACCACTGTTCATGCCCACCCTTGGACCACTGTTCATGCCCACCCCTGGACCACTGTTCATGCCCACCCCTGGACCCCTGTTCATGCCCACCCCTGGACCCCTGTTCATGCCCACCCCTGGACCACTGTTCATGCCCACCCCTGGACCCCTGTTCATGCCCACCCCTGGACTCCTGTTCATGCTCACCCCTGGACCACTGTTCATGCCCACCCTTGGACCCCTGTTCACGCCCACCCCTGGACCACTGTTCATGCCCACCCCTGGACCACTGTTCATGTCACGCCTCAATTCCAGTATCAACTACAGATAATGGCACTTCATAGACGCCTGGAAAACTTGAACCAGCATTTTATCAACAGGAGAAACGGCCATAAAGGCATCGAGACTAACCAACATGCCTGATAGATTTGGCACGACAAGAAGAACTAAGTTTTAAGTATCGATGTTATGGGGCATTTAGTTCTCAATTATGGGGCCGTTTGAGTCGCGTAAGTAATGTCATGCTAATGATGAAGGAAGACCATGTCTATAACGAACCACGTTTAAATTTTATTTAAAAAAATGCATTGCTTGAAAATATTTGGCGCGCTTATCTGAACAGGTACGGTAACATGGTAATTAAATATATACGACTCCAGAATAGGCAAAATGAGAAAAAAAAATTGCTTTTACGCCATTTATAAAACTTGCCCTATTTTCAATCTCTTAAGCACATTTGAATGCGGGTCAGTAGGACAACAGCCAAACGGGCAGTGACATTTGTCGCTCATGCCATACATGAAATTAAGTTTTAATTGTTTGGGGGTTTAAATTCTGATCTCCTTATTTGACCTAACCACTGCATGTCACCTATATAAGGCGACCCTCGTGTATCATCATAGTTGTTTTGGGATGTTAGCTATTTCAGCGCTGTCTTGACTGAGGACATGGTTCGAGTTGAGACACGAAAACGCCTTCCGAATGTAGATAAGACATTTCAGATTGATTTGCCCCAATATCTGCACCTTGAAATTGGGGTGGAGCTGCTAATTAAAAGTTTCAACATTCCTCTGTTTGCGTGGTGAACAGGAAACACCCGCGACCTGCACGCTGTAACACCGCACGGCTGGTGGCTTGCGGAATGTTACTGTCTTACCGCAGTCCCTCGCACAAAATTATACGGGCAGCCTGCGCGCACCTGCACGTGTTGAGACGCGGTGCCCATATTTGAAAAAACAACAACAAGGAAACAAAAAAAAAACAACAAACCCACCACGTATGCGTTAAGTGTCACTACGAAATAGTATGAACCAGTGGTGCTACATAACGGCGTATTATCATATCATTATTGTCATAATAAGAGGCCGGGAGTAGTTGTATGAGGCCGGGGGGAGGGGGGTAAATTAGCATTTAATCTTAATGGATGTTCAAAACCAGAGACATTTATTGGAAGCAAGGATAAATTGTGGTCTATATACAGCTTTGGCCCTCAAAGAAATGGCAACTTCACACGTTGTAATCAATGAATACAAAGTGAATCAAATCAGAGGGTGGCATCCTAGTTTTAACTACAAGTCGGTTTCAAAAACCAGTATGTTTGTTGTGTAGAAGACGTGTTTACGTCACTTTCCCCATGCCATGAACTCTTTTTCAGCCTAAATTAGGCTGCGTTCGTATTGGGCGTGGCCTATTCCCTTTGATCTTGGCCTTTGTTTACTACCACTACCAACTAAAAATAATTAATATGCTCTAATAGAATTTTGTGGAAAGTTCGGGAGTGAGATAGACAGGTAAACAATGGGTAAGGCGTTTCTGGAATGCGTCTTACGCTGCATATATAAGGATTTCAGAGAACATTAAGAGAGAGAGATTCATAGAGGAAGATAATATTTTTACTTCACAAGACACACGTGTATTATTCTGTGTGTACTCATATGTTTATTCTCATTCATCATTGTACCATATTAATTGGCACATTGTATTAGCTGTGTACCGGTACAAGACATATCCTACTGTGTAAGTTGATGATTTTTAATTATATTTATTTTATTTTGTAATTATATTGATACTTAAATAAATCTTATTAATTGTAATTAGCTACTGTTTTGAGTGTCGTATTTTTTGTTTGTTATATTCCTCATATGTTTGTTACACACCTGTTAAGAACGAGCCATGAACATAAAATAAGATATTAGTTTCTCACAATAGAAGGCAGTGCGTAACAATGTTATTTTTATTATTAAGATGATTTTATATAGCGCAGTACCCCAGCCTAGGGCTAGGCTCACTGCGCTTCACATAAAAATTAGCAATTACAGAGAATTATAAAAACAATAATTGGTAAAAAGCTTGACCTCACCCACCCAAGTACAATCTACCCCTGTCTAACCATGGACAGCATCCAGAGCATCAAGCGTTGTTTATCAGTTAGAAGGGAAGGGGGGGGGGTGAGTCACTATAGGACAGTTTGAAGAGATGGGTCTTGAGGGCAATTTTCAAGGCTGAAAAGGTCGGTATATTGCGGATGTGTAATGGGACAGAATTCCATTGTTTTGAGGCACAGAAAGAAAGATCGTTCACCATACATTTTAGTGCGTGTACTGGGAACAGAAAGAATACGCGTGTCTGCGGAGGAATGAAGCTGAAGCTTTCGAATGGGTGAATAGACAGAAAGAATTTCAGTAAGATAGGAAGGGCAGGAACCAGAGAAAAACTTGTTATTAATCCTTGATCAATACACCCGAGGTTTTGATGATGTAGCTGATGAGTTCAGGGGGTTCTTAAATATCAAAGTCCATCAAAATATAGAGCAATAAGATAGGTTATTGTTTCGACCCTCCCTCGAGATCGATCAAGACCATTTTAATCGTGGGATTTGTGCTTGTTCTGATTCTGTCTGTGAGTGCGCAGATGGCTGCAGTTGGACCAATGCTTGAAATGTTCTTGGGAAGTTACATCTAAAGTTCAGTAATGAATGATGTTACTCACATTTTGGGAGGGGGTTGGCGAAATGCGTCTACTCTTTCAGAGGTGGGAAAACAAAAAAAAAAACAAAATTGAGAATTGGTAATTTATTTTATGTCAAACCGCTTGTTCCATTACTCTACATCCCAAAGGACAAGGAAGGCAGATTGAGTTTGATATCAAATCAGTTGCATAGCTGCCAGTGAAACTATCTACCCCCAACATCAGGATGTTGTACCTGATTAGCATACAATGACTTACTTGACTTACGTTCAGGTACCACCAAAAAGGGGTTTTAAACACTAGAAGTTTTTGTCATTATGCGCCTTAGTAGTGAGTAAAATAATCAGACACTGTTTTGTGGTTCGATCTTGGAAGTTTGCACACATTTAGTAAGGACCAGACAGAGAGAGAGAGAGAGAGAAAAAAAAGGGGGGGGGTATAGAAGGGTACATATTTCATATTTCACTTGCAAACTGTTGTCATCCTAAGATTACATAATAATGTTGATGTGGCCAATGTGTATATGATTAAAGATGTGTATATGATTAAACGAACTGTGGGCACCATATAAGATATTCTGTTACTGATCTAGATAAATGGAAATGTTTGTTTTTATGTCAATGTACATGTTCAACTTCAGACATAATGAATAAGTATTCTAAACAAGACAATATTTTGAAACAAGAACAATTTAAACACAAGACATCATCATTTTTTCTCTCCAGTGCAGAAAACAGCAGTAATACACCATAAAACTTCACTCCCTTAGTGACAAGAAGACAACAATGGAGCATGGTGGTAAAGATTTGAGAGATCCTTGCAAAACTATCATTTGCAATTATAACATTTAACATAATCATTTTGTAGCTGGTGGACAAGTGAAGACCAAGAGCAAGGATGTGATGGCCAAGAGCAAGGATGTGAAGGCCAAGAGCAAGGATATGAAGGCCAAGAGCAAGGACGTAGCAATTGTTTGGTAGAGCTGTAAAGTGGTATTTAAACATTGTCAGATCTCAACTTAACTGTTTGTGACTGTAGCTTAGATGTGAACAAAAAGAAGAAACCTAAGAAGAGAATTATTTACTGAACTTGATCCCACTTTCACTCAGAAATCCACACATTAAAAAAAAAAAAAAAAAAATTTAAACATTGTCAGATCTCAACTTAACTGTTTGTGACTGTAGATTAGATGTGAACAAAAAGAAGAAACCTAAGAAGAGAATTATTTACTGAACTTGATCCCACTTTCACTCAGAAATCCACACATTAAAAAAAAAAAAAAAAATGTGGTATTTAGTTAAATAAATAAGCTGACATAATGGGCGAAAAGCAAATACTCAAGCTTCACATAAGGCCCAAATACATGTCATGATGCCTTAAGGAAAAGCCCATAGGAAAGATTAAGTGTTTATTCAAGGCACGAGAGCATAACATTAGGATAGAGGAATTCTTAGCTGTAACATTCACAATGATATCCACGTGTAGCCAAATGTGCTTGTAAGAAATGAGAAATGAAACCATACATAAAGTCAGGTTCAAAGTAATTTGTTGACAAATATTTACTTGTATAAAATAAATGTTCAGCTTTGAGCCATGATCAGAACTAACATTCGTAAAACTTGTTGATTCCAGATCATTTTAAAAAAGTTGCTATTCGTTAGATGAGCAGATTTCTATCTGGATGTCAGGAGCTGAACTTTTAGTTAATTATTTTAAATGTGTACTTGTAAATATTTTAAAAAAAATACAGATTCTTTATTTACTTGGCGTTAAAATGTAGTGAAAGTGAGCATTTGCTTTATTCAATCATCTAAATTTAGAAGACTTTGCCCATTTTTGTGAAGTTTTACTGTCTGATTGTAGGGTGTTACCAGATTCCCCTTTCAATAATCAGCCAAGAAGACAATATTTAATCTACGGCTAACAAAGTTACAATGGTTATAGATGTATCCACAATATCATTAAATACCATACAACAGTTTAAAAAATTAATGCACAATGATAAGTGGCTTGTACCAAACTATTTAAGAATCTTAGAAATGGACTTTTTTAAAACAACAGCAATCATTAAATTTAGTTCTTTCCTTAACTTTTCTTAGTGATCTTTCTCTTTTTAATTTTAGACAATTGTAGTTTATTCAAAGACCAAACAAAACCGGTGTGAAAGTCAAAAGTTACCTTCTCTGAGCAGTTAAATGTTAGAACTATAGATACTGAAGCCACATGTTAATTAAGCATAAAATTGTACATTAATTCATTAAAGTCCAATGAATTAACTGATAGGTTTATTAGTCCAATTCAAGGGGCATTCCAAAGCATTGTTAAAAAGTAGTGCAAGGGAGATAATGAAACCAGAATGCAATCAATTAAAATGCTTACCTCAACTCACACTTGATCTGAACCCAGCCAGGGCTTCTCATGAAAGACCAAGGATGGTACCACTTCTCAATGACATCCATGCATGAACATAGAGTCTCTAGCCACAGGTGCAGAACCTGCTCGCTGGGTACAAGAAAGAGTGTAAGCATTTATTGCCACATTTAACATATTTGTATAGCTATGTTTATATCAATGAATTGTTAACTTTGGACTAGTCTCCCGTAGCTCTGGTGCCAAATCTTTGAGAATATAACGCAACATGAACCTAAGATAAATATATCTTTGCCAAAATGCACTTTCTCAATAATTCATTAATTTTAAATAAGATAAATGTTAATATCAAAGTGGGCTAATGAGCGAAAACATTTTTGTTTTAATCAGTGAACAGCATCATTTCTTAATATAAGTGAACTCAAAGAAAAGTTGAGCAAACGTTCAGTTATAATTAATAAATACAAACTGTAATTTAACCCTCTCAGCCCGTCTTATCGATAAGTGAGTTTAAAATCCATGCCCCGCCCGACAGATATTTTGGTCTCCCAACCCTTACCTTAAATCGATGGTCCCTATATAAGAAATGTGTAGTAAAAACTGGGGACACAGTTTACAATGTGGCTTTTAAAAAGTCAATAGCAGGGCCCATGGATGCATTCTTTTTCTAATGTTTTAGTAATAATTTACAATGTATAATAGAGAAAAAAATATATGCAAAAATGCTATTCTATTTAGGACTGAAACGAGAGCAGGTTGATGATAAATGTAAATGGTTCAAAGGATTATTATGTTTAGAAACGGGATTATAATAAAAATAATTAGACAATGATAATGACAATCGATGTACTTCAACCAGAATGTGTGCTTTGGGAAATAAAGAAACAACAAGGTCTATACCTAGTGTGGGCGCTGGTTTTTAGGAAAATCAGATGACCAATTCTGATCATTTTATGACAGTAATCGGCTACTGACATACAAATTTATATTGCATGGAATTTTGTTTGCTTGTATGTCTGTTTGTATAAATTTTCCCCAGAAGCCCTGGGGCATGGGTCTTTTAGGACCAGGAGCCATGGATTCAAAAGGTTAACCAGCCGTTGTAAGCAACATTTTACTGAATAAGTGCCATCAGCATAAGTTCATTATAGCTACCTAATTTATTTTGCTGCTCTTTACATTTTTATCTCAAAAAACATCCCAACATAAATAAAAGTCAATGTGGAAAATATTAAAATATCTAATTTGTATGAATTCATAGCTTAGTTTATCTCAATGATTTTCTATTTTCCGTTTGCATAATTATCCTAAATGAAGTTTTTATGTTGTAACTTTATTGATTTGATAAATGCTTAATAAATTATTTTTGAAAACTACTTACTTAAGCCCACAGCAAATTAGAGATCTGAATTTCACATCCATCTGTGCATGGCAAGCATCATGGCTTATATTGACTGCTTGTACTGCCTACAAAAACAAATGCAGAAACGAATAAGTTAAACACAGACTTAAAGGTCCAGAATTTATAAACTTTTTCCAAACGGTCAAAAAACATTTTTTTTAAAATTCAAATACTTATTTATTATCATATTCTATGGGGAAAACATAACAAACTCATATGGCATAGATTCAAATTTATTTATCACCCTCAAGTATAAAAAATATAAAGACAATAGTCTGCCTATCCTTGTAGAGATATCAAATATATCCTATAGTTTTTGTAAATATATATGTAATATGTATGTTTAATGTTTTAGATATATATTTGATTCAGCTTAGTGTTCAAAAGTAACTTGTTTGAATTTATTGTTTGAAACAAAGTTATCATGATGAATCATAAGGCACAGAACCATGGCAATCATGACGAATCACACGGCACAGAACCATAGTAATCATGACCACTCATCAGGCACAAAACCATAGTAATCATGACCACTCATCAGGCACAAAACCATAGTAATCATGACCACTCATCAGGCACAAAACCATAGTAATCATGATGAATCATCAGGCACAGAACCATAGTAATCATGACCACTCATCAGGCACAAAACCATAGTAATCATGATGAATCATCAGGCACAGAACCATAGTAATCATGACCCCTCATCAGGCACAAAACCATAGTAATTATGACCACTCATCAGGCACAAAACCATAGTAATCATGACCACTCATCAGGCACAGACAAATGAAGAAATGTCTTAGGCAAAATATTTAAAAATGTCTTGGCTGCCCAGTTGTATCCAGTGGTTTTGAACAAAAATTTGAACAGTACACTTAATATTTACACAAATAATACACCATTTAATGCATTAAAAGAAATAAATTTCACTATATTTTAATGTTGGCCTCCTTCTATGTCAGCAATAAGTTTTTTGAGCTTAAGTACTTCCTTCTCTTATCTGATGCACTTGCTCGTAATGCATTTGATGTGCAGATAAAAGAGAAGTCTCTTTTAAGTTCAGCCTCTTTGGCTTTGCAGTTGGGTAAGGTAACTACACTGGCTTTTTTTATTTTTTAAATTTCAACTCCTCCACTTGTTTCTTCTTGCTGCTTTTCCAGATACAAAGTGTATTTCATCCTTGTTTATTAGGGAAAATTCAACAACTCTTGGGAGATTTATGATGTCCCCAGCTCATCTGACTTGATCAATTACCAGTCTCTGAGCACATAAACTATCAGCTCTTCTGACTTGATCAATTATCAGTCTTTGAGCACAGAAACTATCATCCTTTACATTTTCAACAGTGACTCTTTATTCACAGAGAATCCTCTTTCAACTCTCGTCTGGCCATGTGATAACTAATGGAATTTCTGAACAACCACCCACAGCTCGGGAAAACTCCAGGAGGAGGCTACAGCACATCCATTACGGAAAGCATTGTGTAAAATATTTGGTCCACAACTTAAACTTTAGTTTCCATTTCCAGCTAAAACCTGTGTCCTTGCTAATCAGACTGAATTTTTTCACAAACTTTCAGCAGTTGCATGTCCAAGAAAATGGGATGAGTAGAAAAATGAACTAACTCTATTTACACCACAGATGTGAACATAAATATCCATTCGCTTTTCTTGCATTTCTTTGTTCATTGTTTCATCAAACATATATATCCATTTGCTTTTCTTTGATCTGTTTGTTCATTGTTTTATCAAATATCAGAACATAAGTAGAAGCTGATCTTAAAAAAAATTTTTTTAAAGCTTATCAGCAAAGTAGGTTACTATACCAAAAGTGCTGAGATATGCAGACTTCCTATCAGCACATGCAAACTGTTGTGGTTCTTCACAAGCTGGAAGCACAGCCTTGAAACAATCTGCAGTGCCTTTGGAAGAACTGAAGCGGTAATGGCTATTTGGACATTTCATTGTTCAAATGATTTAAGAGTAAAGCACTTCCGTCTTTGAGCAGTAAGACTAAATATTAACAGGTTTTGCTGTTGATCTTTGTCCATGAGAGGCCCTTAATGATGATGGTACTGATCCCTGTCCATTAGAGGCCCTTGATGATGATGGTACTGATCCCTTTCCATGAGAGGCTCTTGATAATGATGGTACTGATCCCTTTCCATTAAAGGCCCTTGATGATGATGGTACTGATCCCTTTCCATGAGAGGCCAATGATGGTGATGGTACTGATTCCTGTCCATTAGAGGCCCTTGATGATGATGGTACTGATCCCTTTCCATGAGAGGCCAAAAATGGTGATGGTACTGATCCCTTTCCATGAGAGGCCAAAGATGGTGATGGTACTGATCCCTTTCCATGAGAGGCTCTTGATAATGATGGTACTGATCCCTTTCCATTAAAGGCCCTTGATGATGATGGTACTGATCCCTTTCCATGAGAGGCCAAAGATGATGATGGTACTGATTCCTGTCCATTAGAGACCCTTGATGATGATGGTACTGATCCCTTTCCAATAGAGGCCCTTGACGATGATGGTACTGATCCCTTTCCATGAGAGGCCAAAGATGGTGATGGTACTGATCCCTTTCCATGAGAGGCCAAACATGGTGATGGTACTGTTCCCTTTCCAATAGAGGCCCTTGACGATGATGGTACTGATCCCTTTCCATGAGAGGCCAAAGATGGTGATGGTACTGATCCCTTTCCAATAGAGGCCCTTGACGATAATGGTACTGATCCCTATCCATTAGAGGCCCTTGATGATGATGGTACTGATCCCTTTCCATGAGAGGCCCTTGATGGTGATGGTACTGATCCCTGTTCATTAGAGCCCCATGATGATGATGGTACTAATCTCTTTCCAATAGAGGCCCTTGACGATAATGGTACTGATTCCTGTCCATTAGAGGCCCTTTATGATGATGGTACTGATCCCTTTTCAAGAGAGACAAATGATGGTTATGGTACTGATCCCTTTCCATGAGAGGCCCTTGATGATGATGGTACTGATCCCTTTCCATGAGAGGCCAATGATGATGATGGTACTGATCCCTTTCCATGAGAGGCCAATGATGATGATGGTACTGATCCCTTTCCATGAGAGGCCAAAGATGGTGATGGTACTGATCCCTTTCCATGAAAGGCCAAAGATGGTGATGGTACTGATTCCTGTCCATTAGAGGCCCTTGATGATGATGGTACTGATCCCTTTCCAATAGAGGCCCTTGACGATGATGGTACTGATCCCTTTCCATGAGAGGCCCTTGATGATGATGGTACTGATCCCTTTCCATGAGAGGCCAATGATGATGATGGTACTGATCCCTTTCCAATAGAGGCCCTTGACGATGATGGTACTGATCCCTTTCCATGAGAGGCCAAAGATGGTGATGGTACTGATCCCTTTCCATGAAGAAATAAATGAAGGGACTGCTTTCAAGCTATGTAAATGAATGAAATAGTGAAACGAGGTATGTGGAAGCTTGAAATAAGGTAACAGGACAAAAAACAAGGACGTTTCGGCATAAAGCCTTCCTCAGCCAACAATAGAAATGAAAATATAACAAAGAAAAGAACACAGTAGAAAACTCAAGCAGTATTCATTCGTCTCTCCGGAAGTGGGAAAACAGGAAGCGAGAGAATATAAATATTGACACTGTGAAAAATAAAGTCCACAATAATAATGGACCAGAATATCCAGGGATACATCAACAAACAGCAATAAGAAAATAGATGAAATATAGGGAGACGGAGAAACATCAGTAGGATATTATTTGATTAATACCATATGGAGATATGGTGCCAAACAGCTGAATAAATTTATTTTCCATTTTAACCCTATCTGGTGTGTTACTGCATGAAATCAATGCCGTAATGGTTACATCCAAAGCACCTTTATGTTCTTTTTGGTTGAAATGAGAAGAGACCGGGGAAGGTTTACATTGCTCAATATCCCTTAGATGTTCAGTAAACCTATCAGCCAATCTTCTCCCAGTTTCCCCTATGTAACTTGATTGGCATCTACGGCAAACAATCGCATATATTACATTTCTGCTGACACAGGTGAAACCCTCCTTAATGGTAAAAGTACCTTTAGGGAGGCCAATGCTATCAGTTTGGAGTGTAAAGGGACAAGTTCTGCAGCGGCCTCTTAAGCATGGTTTAGTACCAACGTAAGACGGTTCAGATCGAAGGCGACTATGAACCAGAAGGTCACCTAGATTTCTGTCCCGTCTAAAGACAATCAGTGGAGGGGATGAGAAAACCCTGTTGGTATCAGGGTCAGCAAGAAGTATGCTACGATTTTTTAGGAATATTTTTTTGGCAGTTAAATTGTGAGGGTGGTAGGTTAGTATAAGTTTGGTACGATCCTCATTGTTGTTAGGGCGAGTTTTAAAAGCCTCTTTTCGTGTGATCGTGCTGATGCGATCTAGTGCTGAGACCAGAGTAGTTTCAGGATAGGATCTGGAGCGGAAGAAATCCATCATTTCATCGGCTCTTTCTAGAAATTCCTCATCAATTTGGCAGAGACGCCGTAGTCTAAGAAGTTGTGAGAAAGGTATGGAGTCTTTGCATGATTTAGGGTGGGAGGATGAGTACAATAGGTAACTATGGCTGTCAGTAGGTTTGTAGTAGGCAGATGTAATCAATACGTTTTCTTTCAAAGTTACGGTGATATCAAGGAAGTTGACAGAATTTCCAGAGATTTGAGAAGTAAATTTTATTGATGGGTGAAATGAGTTTAAAAAATCTATAAATTTCTGGAGATCATTAGTTTCCATGCTTGTGATGCCTATGCCGTCATCTATGTATCTCCTATAAAATTCAGGAATATGGCCAGTATACGCCCTCTCTGCCATATATTCAAAATGACCCATGAATAGGCAAGCATAGCTGGGGCCCATTTTGGTGCCCATGGCTACACCACTAATTTGGTCAAAGAAATGGCCATTAAATTCAAAGGAGTTAAGTTCAAGTACCAGTTCAGCCAATCTGATGATAGTGTCAGTAGGAATAGAGGAGTGCGGTTTTTTTTCTAGGAAAAATTTCAAGGCCCTAAGGCCGTCAGTATGTGGGATTGATGTGTATAAGGAGCAGACATCAAGTAAAAACAGTGAGTGTTTTGTGTCAGGGTTGATGTTTAGAGAATTGAATGTCACTAAAGCGTGATTTGTATCTTTAATGTAGGAGGGTAAAGAGGTAACATAGGGTTGGAAGACTTCATCAAGAAATTCTGAAATGTGTTCGGTAGGGCAAGCGCAGGCCGAGACAATAGGTCGTCCCGGGTTGCCCACTTTGTGAATTTTAGGCAGCAAATAGAAAGATGGTTTGCCAAGGTCACTATTAAAAATGTGTAATGATGAGGCCGATTTAGGAAGAGCTGATTCGTTAATAAGTTTTTTTATGGTTTGATACACAATATCATTATGTTGAACTATAGGGTTATTCTTGAGGGGCTTATAAAATCTTTCATCCTGCAATTGTTTATCAACCTCCTTAATATATAAATTTTTGTCCCAAACCACGACAGCGCCACCCTTGTCGGCACGTTTGATCACAATGTCGTTACGTTTACGTAACACAGACAACGCCTGAGATTCTAGTTTGGAGAGGTTGGAATGGCGAAGTTTTGGGAGGGAGAGATTGTTGAGATCATGTTGAGTGCTACTGATGTAGAGATCCAATGCTTTGGATTGATCCGATGGTGGTGTCCAGGTCGACTTACGCTGTCTCTGAAATGAGAACAATTCATCCTCCTGTTGTGTGTTTTCTCTGCCATAAAAGTAGTACTGTAGTCTCAAAGATCGAAAATAATGATGAGAGTCAGATAGTAATTGATAGCGGTCTATGGAAGATTTGAGAGGAATAAATTTAAGGCCTTTAGAAAGGAGGGATCGTTCGCCATCAGTTAGAGGGAGATCTGGAGGTATGCAAACGACTAAGTTTTTGCCATGTTCTGTCCTACATGGAGTTATGTTAGCTTTTGGTTTAAGTTCATTTATTTTCTTCTTTTTGTTGGTAGACAAGAGTGAGTATAAATCACGGTTGAGTTTGTGTATAATCAATCTAGCGAGATTTAACATCAAATGGTTTTGATTAGTTTTAAAGAGAATGCTATCCTCAAGTTGATAGATATTGGTACTTAAACTGCGGATCTCTCTTTTATGACTGTGAATGATAACTTCCATTCTTTGACATGATGACCTCCTCTCTATAGACCAGAGTTTAACTCTGTCTCTATTATTAGAGCTAGTCATAGGGTTGAATTTGCTGCAAAAACCCTTCAGTATGACGCCTAATCTGATGCAATTGTTAAGAAAATTGAGATGGACTGTGTGGCGTGTCTTTTTAAATAGAGAGAAAGCAAGGTTCCTGCAGTCACATGCCACTTCAGGTGGGAGTAAGCTAAAAGTGGTGATTATGAAAACTCTAATTTGATTCATAGCCATTTTATAAGAGGCCATATCAGTGGAAGTATTGAGCAATGTAAACCTTCCCCGGTCTCTTCTCATTTCAACCAAAAAGAACATAAAGGTGCTTTGGATGTAACCATTACGGCATTGATTTCATGCAGTAAAACACCAGATAGGGTTAAAATGGAAAATAAATTTATTCAGCTGTTTGGCACTGTTATAGAGTGCTTGTTTACATCATATTTTCTCATGCGTGCCCTCTGATTGACCCCGCATGAGACGCTGTGTTCACAAAGGGGTGTGGCTTAGGCCTTTGAAGTAACTTGTTGACGCCGCCAACGAATAAAAATAATTAATCTGTTCCAAATAGTATTTGGTATTTGTGTATTTGTGTGCTCCTACTTATATGTGTTTATTTCGCATTATTTATTGGCATCATTATTTCTAATTGTATTAACTGTGTACCGGTACGACATCTGCCATACTGTAAGTTGAAGATTGTAATTTTATTTTATTTTATTTTGTTATTATCTTAAGACATAATAAATCTTAATTAATTGTAACTAGAAACTGTTTTGGGTCGTATCTTTAATATTGTTGATTATATGATACCATTAAAATTAAAATAGGAGATTAATTTCTCCCAATACAAGTCAGTGCGTAACAGGCACCATATCTCCATATGGTATTAATCAAATAATATCCTACTGATGTTTCTCCGTTTCCCTATATTTCATCTATTTTCTTATTGCTGTTTGTTGATGTATCCCTGGATATTCTGGTCCATTATTATTGTGGACTTTATTTTTCACAGTGTCAATATTTATATTCTCTCGCTTCCTGTTTTCCCACTTCCGGAGAGACGAATGAATACTGCTTGAGTTTTCTACTGTGTTCTTTTCTTTGTTATATTTTCATTTCTATTGTTGGCTGAGGAAGGCTTTATGCCGAAACGTCCTTGTTTTTTGTCCTGTTACCTTATTTCAAGCTTCCACATACCTCGTTTCACTATTTCATCCCTTTCCATGAGAGGCCAAAGATGGTGATGGTACTGATCCCTTTCCATTAGAGGCCCTTGATGATGATGGTACTGATCCCTTTCAAATAGAGGCCTTGACAATAATGGTACTGATCCCTGTCCATTAGAGGCCCTTGATGATGATGGTACTGATCCCTTTCCATGAGAGGCCCTTGATGATGATGGTACTGATCCTTTTCAAGAGAGGCCCTTGATGATGATGGTACTGATCCTTTTCCAATAGAGGTCCTTGATGATAATGGTACTGATCCCTGTCCATTAGAGGCCCTTTATGATGATGATACTGATCCCTTTCCATTAAAGGCCCTTGATGATGATGGTACTGATCCCTGTCCATTAGAGGCCCTTGATGATGATGGTACTAATCCCTTTCCATGAGAGGCCCTTGATGGTGATGGTACTGATCCCTGTCAATTGAGAGACCCTTAATGATGATGGTACTGGGTCAGCATAATTAGTTGTACTTAAATATCCAACAATGGGAGCCAAAGGAATAGGCAGCTTTCTCATCATGAATGTGATTTTTTTCCTAAAATATAATTAACAACAAAGTATTATATTACTATTAGGCCTATCCTGACATAATAATATTATAAATCAAAATTAATCTCATATTAAAATGAACTGGTTGCCTCAAGTCTGGATAATATAATGTTTAATAGTACCTTATCCAAATTAGTAGCTTAATTAAATAATTATAGAAAAACCCGAAAGTAGCAAGAAAAATTTTAATTTTATACAATCTTAATTTTAACTTCGTCACGTGAATGATGAATAGGTTTAATTTACTGTAGCTTACCCTTTGCATGGCTTTTCAAGGCTCCTTCACCCATCGACGAGTTATCAATGTTTTTGTTTTACAAACTTTGCAATAGGCTTTCCTCTTGTCATCCGCTACTTTTCTTTTGGCCAAAACTTGTATTCTGACTTAACGATCCATATATCATTAAAATACAAACTCTCGACATATTTAATATTGTAAACAGTTAAGCGGATTTGAAGGAGATCAATAGAAAATGCACATGTCGCTAATCCAAAAAAAAAATTATAATGACGACAAATTTTACCAAAGAACTTGTACCGCTGCAGCCTAGTCAAATGAGGCGCTGTTACTATGCGATGGATCACTTGTTAAGATTAATTTGATTTGCTTAAATAAATCTACCAACCAATCAACAAATTTCTTTATTGCAGATAACGAATTAAATAAGAAATGCTCTCTACGCATGTCAGTTAAATGGGTTTTTCCCTTCCAATTATTTTACCCTGCTTGTTTTCTATTCTTTGGAGTGTTTAAAAAAAATTTTTTCCCAAAACTTTGAAAGTTCATGGAGTTTGTTTCTAATTTTCCCAAACTTTTCAGGCCCTAGAAATTTATTTCCCCAAACTTACAAATACCTTAAAAGACTGTCTGAACCCTGTAGTTATTTTAGAATTTGAGTTCAGGATTCTTAAAAACAGACACTTATTAAATAACTTTTACTGAAGCTTAGATCATTTTGTATTTCATTTACCCACTCATAATTCTAAAAACCTTCCGTAATATGCAATATTACAGAAGGCTTATTTTTCTACAATGAGTGTAAAAGTTTATTTTAAAAAGTTTTAAGTTGTCTTGCACATGTTCAAGTATGAGATTCTATTAATGATGATAAATAATACATTTTTAGTGGTCGTGCACTGTTTTTAAAAAACTATGTTGAAATTATTGATAGATGAAACAAAGATTTCCACTATAAATACTTCAAGTCGTTCTTCTTTTTTCAATTAAAAAATTCTCTTATCTAACTTTTTAGTTGATTTACTATTATTTTCTTTAAAAAAAGAATTTACCCTGTACAAAACCTCTTCTGGGGTCAGCACCTTTCCATCCTCATCAAGCCTGTATGTCTTACACAACACCAGCCTGGAGTAGACACTTTGGAAGTCTTTCTCCACTCCTCTAGTAGCAGCCTGAAGATGGAGCATCAAGTGGGATTTATCATTATTTGATGAAATGATTGAGAATAAAAACAAACCCTAAACACAAAGTTTTTCATATAAATCCTTTATAAATGTAATATCAAGCAATGGAAGGTGGGGTTCAAAACATGCATTCAAGTTACGCATTTTATATGAATACAAATTAGTGTCCCTCCCCAAGGCTCGCAACAGCATATTTTTTTCACTGCCCTGAAACTATATTAATATTCTAATGTCCTGACCTGCTTTTACACTGCAGATTTATCATACCATTTCTGTAAAACAAAAGAAAATATGCACCAACCGTCCTGGCGATATTTTAAAGAATCTCATTGAACGCGGTTATTGAAAATTTTATTTTGTGAAATCAGTGGTATCTAATAGCGTTAAAAGTTATTTTTGAGGGTTGGGGGCAGGCCTGAAAATTTGAAAGAATGTGTTGTCATCGGCAAGGAGTCTATGGGGCCGTCCATAAAGTACGTCACGCCATTTAGGACCATTTTTACCCCCCCCCCCCCCCGTCACAAACTGTCACAAATCTTGGACACCCTCACCCTTGAGGGTTGGGGGCAGGCCTGAAAATTTGAAAGAATGTGTTGTCATCGGCAAGGAGTCTATGGGGCCGTCCATAAAGTACGTCACGCCATTTAGGACCATTTTTACCCTCCCCCCCCCCCCGTCACAAACTGTCACAAATCTTGGACACCCTCACCCTAAAGTATGTCACACTTTCGAACAATTTAAAAAAAAAATTAACACCTAATTAAAAGTTAATCTAAAACACACTTCACTATTAAACTGTATTAAAATATAAAATTTCCACTTAATTGCCACTATCACATTATTAAAATGACCTTAATAGTAGAATAGTTAATTGTCAACAGTTGTCATAGTTATTCATTGAAGCAGTAACTAAATCTAGATTGAATTTGAAAACAAAAATTGCAAAAATTAGACTAGACAATTATATAATACACATCATTTATCTGCTGCTTTTTATTTACAATAGGTGAGGTCAAGTTTTAGATAATCTTCCGATTATGCAATCTTTTTACACAGGATAAGAAGTAGATTAGCGAAACTTGACCTCAACCGTGATTAAATAATAAAAAGGACAGTGACAGAATTATGCAGTGGACAACATAGAAATAATAATACTTCAGGCATGACGAAAGCAAGGCTATATATAAAACAAGGCTTCGCAACAGTATACTAGCTCTCCTAGCGAAAGGAATCGTGAACAACACACCCAGGAGATACGCATTTCATGCTATTTTGACATAAAACTAATTCAAATGTTCCACAAAATTTTTGAACATTATTTTTAAAGCTATTAAATTCCACTAAAAAATAGATTAGAAATCAAATTTTTAAAAATAAATATGTGATATCATACATGGCCTGACCCCCCCCCTCCCCTGTCACAAACTGTCACACTTTCTTACACTCCCTCCCACCCTCTGGAGCATGACGTACTTTATGGATGGCCCCTATGTGCCAAGTTTCAGCTCGATTAATAAGCCGTAAGAAGATTTTGTCCCAACACACTAAAGAAAAAGACGGTCAAAAGCAAAGTTAATATAAAGGATGCAAAAAAGAGATGGGCAGGGTGTGATAGTTCCAACGATGACTTGCAACTGTAATTCCTCAAGAAACATTACTTTCTTCAAGATTTTCACATTTAAAAATAAAAAATGAGCCTTAGCAAAAAATACTTCAAAGTCACCCTCCGTGACTCATCAAGTCACGGGTGTGATAACAACAATATATGCATGCAAAACAAAATGCTGAATTGACTTGGCCCTTGGTAAAATTGTTTCTTGGGTAAAATTGTTTATCCAAATTATTACTGTAATTAACATCAAAACAAACGCCATTTAAGAAACTTTTTAAATAAAAACAAAAACTATTTTGAAATGCCTTTCCCATTCACAAATAAAAAGATAAGCCTACCTCTTCTATAAATAGCCAGGGATGGCAGTGGCCACCCAAAATTGTTGACTTTTTCAAACCATGCTCAAATATGGCTTTCAAGGCTGGACACAATCTGAGGATATAAAAATGAAAGACCAATAATATTTTGAAAAAAGCATACAGTATTTAATTGTTGCATTAAAAATTTAATTAGCTGGACTAATTATTAAAATACTTAAATCTGTATGTGAAGAAGTGGTATAAAATGTCATTATGTTTTTTTAAAAAACTAATTATAATGCAAATATTATTTTTAAAATTAAAAATTTGAGAAGAAGCTAAATTTCAATAATAAAATTAAATTGTTTAAGTTAAAATAATGATAAAATAAAATAGCAGTACATGGAACTTTTTTCAAATAGCTGAGATGTTTACAACTTTTAAGAAGGTTAATATTTATAAATACATTGCAATAATTTATTAGTACAGTGGAAACTAGGGTAGCAAATGCTCCGCCTAATGAACAAATTGGTTAATGAACAAGTTTGGTGCACAATTTTTGTCTTTGTTAAAAAACAATCATTGGGGTCAACAACATAAGCATACTTCTGTACACACAATCCCACAAGCTCTGGTGCTTCGGAGCGTTTGAAAAAACTATCATTGTCCAAGTGCTGTGTTAAAAAATACAACTTATTGTTACTTTCACGCTTTTAATGTTTTTGAGCCCTCATTAGTCGAAAGAGGAGAGTTATTAATAGAAATAATTTTAGTTTAGATTTTAGTGTAGGAGTAAGGACCTAAATTATATTATACATGATAATGGCCTTTGTGTTTCCGACATCGCCAAGAAATAAATTATGGTGTAATTGACAATTTGTACCATTGTCAAAGAATAAATATGCAAAAAAGGTGACTGATGTGGCTAAAAGAGTGAATATGTTAAAGAAGCAAAGGTCTTAAGTGCTAGAGAAATTAGAAAACTGCTGTTAGTTAGGATAAAAGAAAGCAGCTGGCTTTAGTCTGTAGATACTGTCAGGGAGACAATATTTTATGAAAAGGATGTGTAATTGCATTGTGATATGTTGGCCGAAACACAGAGTACAAGTGCCAGACTAGTGATTTGTTGACCAAAACACACTGTTGAAGCTGAAGACTTTAAAGTGAGAAGAGGGTGGTCAGATAAAATGCTATATTTTTCATTATAGAACAGCTTAAAAATGTAAAAATACATTATTTCTAAGGCTGGAACAGATTAATTGAATTTACATTGATCTTAATATGAAAAATTTTTGTTAGCGAATGTTTCGATTTAAGAAGGGAGTCTTGGAACGAATTAAATTCATTATCTGAGGTTCTACTGTGTTTAAAGTTTCTTTTATAAAATTAATGATTTCTTTCCTCCAAGAATAAGATTTTATCCACACTTCAAATTTCAAGCTGACAATTTAAATATTATAAACATGACAACACTTACGTTCCTCTGACCAGATCTGTAATGGCCTCAGTTACTGAATCATCACCAGCTGATGAATAATGCTTACTCCTTTCATCTAATACTTCAACAAACTTTGCAGGAAACCACCCCCTTAACCCATTCAGCTCTCCTATCCAGCAGTGTTCATCTTTTTGAGAGATTATCTAAAAATATTGTAAATACTCTTAAATAGGCTGTAAAAATAAGATCCAAATGTAAAAATTTAAAAGATAATCAAAGAAAACAAAGCAAACAAATAAACTAGAGTCAATTTTATCACAGAATATCAATCTTAATTTCTTTTCATGTTATTTAACATAAAATAATATAAAGCAACAAAAAAAAATATTTATCTTATCAAATAATTCTGCATATTTCTGAGGCAATTTTAATGTGTTTTTTAAAATTTTATAAATGCTACTACAATAATCTATCATTAAATTTGCACTGCAAAACGAGAGATGTTAATTCTTTAAATACTTTTTGTGTCCACTAATCTTTAAAGCCGTATTAAACAATTTATCTCTTTTGACTTGACAACTAATTTTAAGCTTTGTATTCTTTTTAAGGTTGTTTAAAATAACTCTACTCTCAATTATTTTTAAAAAAAGTTTAAATAAATTATGACGTTGGGAAGAAGATGAAAAAATAACTTTAAAATCTTTTATCAAAATAAATATAATACTTTAAAATTAAAAGATTAAGACAAAAAGAATCATACATACTGTGATGATGTCATTCTTTCGGAAGCCAAGCTCATCATCATCATGTCTTTCAAAGTCTAACAAAGCCTTGGCTCTTCGATGTCTATTTCTTGCAACATTAACATAATTCTCCAGGTCTTTAGCATGACTCTCCATGCTGTAATCTGCAGTCAGGATCTAAAAATTCAAACATATTTTGTTAAATTATTTACAATTCAAGTTTTTCTCATTTTTACAAAACGTGCCTTTTTTTTTAATAACAATCTTTTCACACCCAAAATAAATTTTTTAAAAAAATTATTTACTTGGGGAAAAAAGTGTGCCTCAGACTGTTGAAATATAAAGATCATGTTAATTTAACACCCCATCAAAAAATATGAAGGATTGTCTTATTCTGATCGGGGCCGGCGCTAGGAGGAAGTGAAGTGGGGGACCACCCAAGGCCTCGCGCATTTGCGGGGCCCCCCGCGTTGCCTACTAATAGTTCCTAATCCAGTCAACCTTGATATTGGTAACAATGGAGCCCCAATGAGTAATTTGGGCCAGGGCAATTAGGCCTTCTGTTATAGGAAAAAATAGAAACTTTGGAAACTAAGCGAATGAACAAATATCCGTTAAGACGCGTCCCATTATGACCAACAAGGCCCCAGTTCAACTATTACGTGTCTTAATATCCTTACAGCGGAATATATAACGTCAACGGCCCTGCAAAATTCAATTTGCCCAATGCCCCGCACCTTCCTAGCGCCGGCCCTGATTCTGATGTGAATGTTGTTTGAATTTTCATTAGAATTCTGAGCATAAAAATATTTAAAGAGCTAAGTTTGAGCTTGCCTCTAATTGAAAATTTGAATTAAAAAAATCTCTATAATAAAAAATTGGCCCAGAAACCATGTTTTTCATAAAATTTCTATACAGAAATGTATTCCAATCCAAAGTATCCTCACAGAGGATAACCATAAATAAAGAAAACATATCACAAGACCTACCACTTTACTATTTTTGGGATCCAAACTTTGAAAATGCCTGGCCACCTGAAGGATGGCTTCTCTTAAATCAACAAGTAGTTCTGTCTGACGTATATTTTTAGCTTTACCAAAGTCATCCTCCTCATTGTTGCCACCACCCCAAAGAACCGACATCAGTGATCGGGAACGCCTTAGATGCCGTTTGTTAAGTTGCTGGATAATTTAAAAGTGAAAAGTTTTAGCAAAATCAGGTTTATGAGATAATTAACTAAACCCAAATTAAAAGAAAAGAAGTGATCAATTTATTTACATTAATATTTTAACGAAGATAAAATAATTCATTAGAAGTTAGAGTGCACATTGCTCTTGCATCACTCATTTTTTAAAGGGATCACTTTAAAAATTACTTTTTAAAAGTATTAATGTACCTGTTTAGGTAAATTTCTTGAAGATTCTGGATTCACAAGTGCTCCTTGATCAGCCATTAAGTAGGCCAAATGCTTTCTCCGATGTGTATCTACATGGACATCAGTCAAGGATCCAGAGACCCTGAATGCAACCTACAAAATGATTTAAAATGCTAAATTATAAAACGACAGAAGTTGGCTAACTTTCTTAAGGTAGGACCACAGAAAAAAGTGTTACATTGTGGCAGGCTATGAATTTCAACTTCATAAAAATCAATTTGTAATTTTAAAACAAATACTATTTATAGAGTCAGTCAATGTGACACCTTATCTCTGAAAAGTTTTTTTAATTTTGAGGGGGCATGTTGCAGTAGATCAAATAGATGTAAATCCGAGAGTTTGGTACATAACACAACAAAATTTAATGAATTTCATTTCATAAATACAGCTTCTAAAAAAAATTTGGATAAAAGACCAACAAACAGTTATGGTCTTCATGAAATTTCAAATGCATAAATTCATCAAATGACAATCGGATTTCTTATAAACAACATTGACTTTCACATCAAAATTATAATTATAAAAGGAAGACTAAATACCACTTTGATTCGCAGTATGAGAAAATGAGTCTTGGTCATATTGTTTTCATACACACAAGAAAAGAAAAGAATTTTATGAAACCTATTAAAACAATAAACTAGTTTACTTTGAAGATAAGACATGAAAAGATTTTTTACACACAGACATATACCTAGCAAAATCAATAAAGAAATTTTTAATGAGCCTGCTCTGGCATTAAAATATCATTTACGGTCATGTGTCATTTTAAAACAGAAACACATTTATTTTAAATTTATTAAAAGCAAAGTAAGGCTAGATATTTTAGAAAAGCAGACAAGATCTGGCTAGCAGGCCAAAGGTTAGAAGACCCCGTTTTGGAATTTATGAAAAAATAATTTCTTAAAAATCCATTGTAAATGAATATGTTTTTTGACAAATAAAATAAAAACAAATCCAGATTAATAATTATGGCAAACCAAAAATTAACTTACTTCAATAAGTTCATCTACATCCTCAACATCTCCTGGAACATCAGACAGAGCGTTGAAAATCTGTGCAGAATTGTCCAAACTTTGCAGTTCTTGTTCCTGTAAACAAGGATTTATTACAGTTTCCATATTTAATTACTTAAATAATAAATTAACTATATACATATAATGCTAAAGTGCTCAGATATAATTTTTTTAGTCATTGATTCTTTTAAAAGAAAATTGTAAACAATATAATGGAATTTATTCACATGTGCCTTTCTATGCCTGGTCTAGATATGAAACATTTATGAACATTGTATTTTGGGAGATACATGAGGGATTACATTTGTATAAATAAGTTTGAGAGGGCTATTGGAGTTCAATTTTGAAAAACAATGGAGCATTATATCATTTAAAAATTAATTGATGCCTTTTATAACCACTTCAAAAATAAAAATCCTACTTTGAGCTTTAGCATCCCCATTGTTATCTGGAAGATAACGACAGATCCTTCATAATAAAATAGATCCCATAATCGTAAAAGTACTTTCATGTGAACAACGCTAGCAAACAGTGTCAGGAACCAGTGAAGGCTTATTAGAGACAGCTCTGTGGGAGTAGAATTTTTTTTTTTTTTTAAATATATTCTTATTATAGCATAGGATATTTTCAGGTAATGTAAATATTTTTATGTCACAAAGAAAACTAACATCACACATTTCTTTAACATTCCTTTCCAATTAGAAATAAGCATGTTATTTTTATTTTTTAATATCCTTAAGCTTCAAGAATAATTGCCACAGACATTTTTTTTCATCACTTATCACTGATTTAGTGAATTTTAGATCTGTGTTTTTAAAAATATGCGTTGCTATATTTAAACAGCAAGAAATTTAATATTAGTTTATTAATTTATGTTTTTCAAGAACTGTCAGCACTATATGTATGTCAGCACTATTTCATCTTTATAAATTAAACAACAAACTTGAAAAAAAAAGCTTACCTATATCATGTTCTTTTAAAACCAGATCGATATCAGGCAAATAGCTGATGACCAGTTGGCGCAACACTCTCTGATCAGCCTAAAGTGTAGTGTTGAAGGGAAATTAATCATAAAATAAAAAATTAATTTACATAATTTAACAAAGAAAAAACATGAAATTAATGTCTTAATAATAAACTAAGCCAATACAAAATATTAAACCAGTCTTAAGTCAAACCTGTATCCCAATCAAAGTATTGGAGTAGTAAGATGCAGGCAGCAGATCTTCAATTATGGCACACATCATCCAGAACGTGTCTTCCTCCTCCATAAATAACAGTAAGGATGCTGCTATCTGCAACATTAAATTAGCAAGATATTGAGTTTTTAATAAAAATTTCTGGTAAAATGAGATGACATAAAGCATTAATAAGATATTCATATGTATACAAATTGTAAAAGTAAAAACAATACTGAAATGCAACACAGATTAACAAAATTAGGCAATAAAGGTATATAGATGTAAATATTGATAAAATTCCCATGCAATTTTTCCATTTACTTAGACTTAGAACATACATATAGCTACTGCGGCTGGAAAGCATCTTTTAATACATGAAGGCAAAGTTTTTTCTCGCAATGAAAATAAATAGCTTGAGTAAACACACTTTCATCTCTATAAGAACTGAAATTAGGGACCTGAAATGACTGTAGCAAAATCCTTTTCATAACAGAGGACAGAGGGGCTAAACATAGATGATACCAGCCATTAATGCCCATTTTCATTGAATCCAACATTATTTTTCAAATAAAAAAAAAATTGCTATATATTCTAGACTAGTCTGAGTTTCAAATGGGATCCCATTCCCTGTTGAGATCCCATTCCTGGATGGATCCAGTTCCCTGAATGGATCATGTTCCTCTAGATGATACCAGCCATTAATGCCCATGTTCATTGAATCCAACATTATTTTTCAAATTAAAAAAAAATTGCTATATATTCTAGACTAGTCTGAGTTTCAAATGGGATCCCATTCCCTGTTGAGATCCCATTCCTGGATGGATCCAGTTCCCTGAATGGATCATGTTCCTCTAGATGATACCAGCCATTAATGCCCATGTTCATTGAATCCAACATTATTTTTCAAATTAAAAAAAAATTGCTATATATTCTAGACTAGTCTGAGTTTCAAATGGGATCCCATTCCCTGTTGAGATCCCATTCCTGGATGGATCCAGTTCCCTGAATGGATCATGTTCCTCTAGATGATACCAGCCATTAATGCCCATGTTCATTGAATCCAACATTATTTTTCAAATTAAAAAAAAAAAAATTGCTATATATTCCAGACTAGTCTGAGTTTCAAATGGGATCCCATTCTCTGTTGTGGCCCCAATACCAATCGACTGAACAATTTCCAAGGAAGGTAAAGAAATCTTTAAAACTACAATAAAAATTCCCATAAGCTTTTAGATCCCAGTGGAACAATATAGAGCAGTGTTTCCCAACCTTTTTTGTGCCATGCCCCACCTAAGCCTGTCTAAAATTCTTAGCCCCTCCTCATCATGTACATAATTTTTAAAATATAAAAAAAAAGGAAAAGGGTTGTTCACTGAAGAAACGTAAATGATAGGTTTTAAGAAGAAATCTATCTAGGAAATTGGTGAGGATACACAGTAAGTTTTAAAACATTTAATGGAGAACTGAAATTCAAGTATGAAATAATTTTATTGAAAGATTTTTCTATATTATTGCAATTATAATTATTTGTAATTATTTTTATTTAAATTAAGTGAGATGTTTGTGCTTAATGCTTGCTGCAAAGAGATTTTATGTTAGATTCCAATTTAGTTAGCTTCAGTCTCAAGTCTCCACGTTGTGTTATATCCAGCCGAATTTATTTATTTATTTTTTTCTACAAAAAATATGGCACTAAATACACATTCAGTTAAATTTGGTTGAATTTGGATATTTGATTTCTGTTTCCTCACAAAGCCATGCCATTGCTCATTTTATATCAAATCAAGTTGTAACTGACTCATCATTATGCATTTCTGCGAGTTCTTCCTAAAAATGGATAATTTAAATATCAGATAAATCCACTAACATTGGCTGCATCATCCAAGTTGGAAAATCAATTTGTTTCAAATAAGAAAAATATTTCTTTTAATTTAGCCCATAGACATTTCAGACAATGGACAACAACAAGTATAGCGGTATCAGTCACTTCACATTTTTCACAATGAAACTTCAAAATTTTTGTAGTAAATATTTTTTTGACATAATTCAATAAAGGTAATTAAACCTAATATCTTGGCTTTTGCATCAACAAAAGTTTTATTTGTTCCTTGAAGTTGGTTATTTAATGTATTTAGTTTTGCAAAGATATCGGCTAAAAAACTCACAAATGCTTTACCATTAGCTGTTATCAGATACTTCATTTCAGGTTTGTCACTTAAAAAAATACAAGAGAATCAAATAGTTCCATAAATCTTTTCAAGCAACCCCCTTTCAAAAGCCATCTTACTTCAGTGTGAGGTAAAAGTCTCACATAGTCTGTATTTTGTTCTTTACAAAATGGCTTGAAGAGACGTTCACATTCGGCATTAGCTTTAATAGCACTGATACTGTTTATAACTGAATTTAGTACTTCATTTAGATTAGGTGAAATGTTTTTAACCCTAAATTTTTCTAAATGCCTAACATGTGGGCCATATAAATTCATGCAGATAATTAATGGCATTCAACATTTAATATACCATTAAAATAGGTTAAAAAATGCCGGATATTTAGTCTTTTAAATTATTGAACTTTCAGGAAAATTCTAGACCAGCCCCAAATTGAGTAGATACTATAATGTAAAATTCACCGATATTTGAATATGGAGTATGAAGGTTATAGCTACCAAGCTGGGCCTAACCTAAATTCACTTAGAATCCTATACTATTGTCTAAGCCTAAATGGTATTTATATAGCTTATATAAGGAAAATGAAATTGGGGAGTGAATATTTTGAGCTCCATTCCCTACAGTATTTTGATAAGGATAATCAAGTGCATATGTACGAACTTTATTCTAGATCCATCCACTCATGCAATAGCCTATGCTTGATCGTTTATTTATATAGCTCATAAAAGGAAAAAATAGATTCAGGTGCCCTCAGCCCCAAAAAGGTTATCATGTAAATTTAAAAAACCCCCAGAACTTTATTCTGGATAGTGAAGGGTATGTGTGCAAAGTTTGCTCAAGATCCATCCATTCATGTCGAAACGTATGCAGAACAAGCACAACAAATGTAAGGAGAAATAAAATTGAGGCCCCCAGCCCTAAAGTAGTGGATATTATGAATTCAGATTCCTATGGAAAATCAAGTGTTTGTTTACTAGGTTTGGTCTAGATTCATCCAATGCTTGAAATTATATTTAAATAGCTTTTATAAGAAGAAGCAACATCTTTTGCCCCTGCCCCTAAATGGAAAGTTTAAATTCCCCCAGTATTTGATTCTGGATAATGAACGGTATGTATGCCAAGTTTGGTCAAGCCTCATCAATCCATGTAGAAATGTAAGGAGAACAAACACACAAGTGTTCACCATTAAAATATAGTCTATATGATTAATGTACTTAGTATTTTTATTTTAAATATGCTTAGCAACTTACAACTCCAGTTCCTTGACAGTAGCCAATATCTGGATACAGCCAGGCCAGACCACGCAGTATTCTTCTCAGCCGTGGTATGCCAGTACTATTTATATTGCAAAAGCAAGCATTGCTTGGCATAGTACGCAATAAATCCTATAAAACGACAAGTATTAATTTTAAAATGTTATTTTTAACATTTTTAAATATTTCTTTTTTAACATTTTCAATCTTTCTTTGAGATGTATAAATTTACTATAAATCAAATACCTATTATCTTTATAAATAATAATAATACTCATTTAATTAAGTATTATTAAAAAGCTAATTAGGGAGCAGTTGCCTTTTCAATTTGTTTCGATGTCATAAGATGATCACTACTGCTTGCTTTGACCACATCTTTGTAAGAGAGATCTGCTTTGTTCTTTTTGTCAAGGGCACCAGAAAGCCTAAGCCACATTTGGCCTCTCATTGAATGTGGAATGCCTTGACGGGCCATTCCCCTAAGCTTTTCAGACCTGGGCAACCTGGCTTCCACCTGTGAAAACAAAAAATTAATTGAAAGTTTCATAACTAATCAAACTATCAATTATAATATACAGAAAGGAAGTTTGACAACACTGAAAAATTCTTAATACCTCAATGGATTTAGGGAAGTTAAACAATATTAAATGCTTTACAATATCTTAATACATTTTTTGTCTTCAAGAAGATAATTTTTTAAAATTCAAACCTTATCCCATGTAAGGTCTCCAACTTCATTGTTATGTGTGAACTCCAAATATGCTGTCCATTTTAACCTGTGCTGTGGGTCTTCAATGAAAGGTGTGCTTAAAAGCTTACTTGAATTTTCTTCTGGTCCATCTAAAATAATATGAATATTTAGATTAGCAGCTAATTAAAATATTTCAAGAATAATCATAACATTACTTTCAAAGTGCTTCAGCCAACAATTAAAAATTTATATTTTAATATTCATTATTTATAGAATTTTAATAGTTTTAAAAGTATTTTTTATTTATTTATTTTAACTACATCTCATTACAACCTATTTAGAAATGTCAGAGCCTACCTTCTTCTTCAACTTTAAACCCAAATTCATCGTATCTGTAGTCCAATTGACCATTGGGATCTTCTGGCTGGAAATTTAATTTAAAAAATGATGCTATAAAACAATTGATAAGAAATTACTTCAATAGTATATAGAAAGTTAAGAAAATAATATTTGGATGAAATGAATTCAACGGATTGCTTCAAAGGAAACAAATATCTGAAGATTTTTTAAATACAAAAGTTAAAAGGGTCTCTGTTATAGAGAGCTTGTTTTTCTCGTGCGTGCCCTCTGATTGACCCCGCATGAGACGCTGTGTTCACAAAGGGGTGTGGCTTAGGTCTTTGAAGTGGCTTGTTTACAGTCGGCTTCCAATTACGCATTGGGTAGATTGTTTTCGGGTAATTTCTGGAATATACTCCTTAACCCGAGAGATGTAAACAACACGTCATAAGCCCTTCTCGAAGCATCTTACTCTACATATATATAAGAGATTGACAGGCACGAGGGGACGGAGATTTTTCACATAGATTTTCTTAACATTACGAGGCGTGTTTTATTCTTTGTGTATTTGTGTGCTCCTACTTATATGTGTTTATTCCGCATTATTTATTGGCATCATTATTTCTAATTGTATTAACTGTGTACCGGTACGACATCTACCATACTGTAAGTTGAAGATTGTAATTTTATTTTATTTTGTAATTATCTTAAGACATAATAAATCTTAATTAATTGTAACTAGAAACTGTTTTGGGTCGTATCTTTAATATTGTTGATTATATGGTATCGTCCTTTGTTAGGCACTGTTTACAACGAGCCAATTAAAATTAAAATAGGAGATTAATTTCTCCCAATACAAGTCAGTGCGTAACAAATTGGGCGCATCGTCCGCGATAACCGAATCCATATTTTATTCTCATTAGACCCCAATTTTAACAAATTGTGGGATTTTCCGAGGATAATTTTAATCCATAGTTTTTATTACACCAATAATAAATTGAGCGTTTTTTCTGTGGATTTTGACAAACTGTTTACCTTAATACACTCAAACTAATTTGAGATCACGATACCATTTTACGACACCAACAACAGAGCTGGTTACAATTTTTTCATTAGTGTGTGCACTAAGCTTAAATTTTTATAAAAAAATCATTGTTATATTTTGCCTGTGTCAAAATGGATTTTGATATTGAAAACCCATCAGTAGAGGCATTAGACAAATGTTCTAGGAAGGAGCTATTTTCCATTGCTAAAGCTCTAGAAATAAATGTAGCTCATTCGGCCGTAAAAAAGACCATACGAGACATGATCATCGTTCACTTTGTGGATGAAGACATGTTATCTGAAGATGAACTTGCCTCAGTCACACAACCGACTGATCCAAGTATGGAGCTCCAACTAAAGCTCAAACAAATGGAACTAGATGCCCAGAGAGAAAAAGAACGTGAGCTTAAACAGCTGGAGCTAGATAAAGAACGTGAGCTTAAACAGCTGGAGCTAAATAAAGAACGTGAGCTTAAACAGCTGGAGCTAGATAAAGAACGTGAGCTTAAACAGCTGGAGCTAGAAGCACAGAAAGAGCTACAAATCAAATTAAAAGAAATGGAAATAACAGCCAATTTGGGAGCAATGGAAAATAGACTCACGGCTCCAGCCGGTCAAGGTTGCGATGCAATTAAATTTGCAAAAGTAATCCCTAAATTTTCAGAAAAAGAGGTTGACCAATATTTTGCGCAGTTTGAGATAACTGCCCAAAATTTTAAAATTCCTGAAACTATGTGGTCCACCTTACTTCAACCAGCCTTGACCGGAAGGGCATCTGAAGTCTTTGTGTCCCTGAATGCGGAACAGCGCGGGGACTATAACCTAGTAAAATCATTAATACTTAAGGCTTATGAATGTGTCCCCGAAGCATACCGTAAAAAGTTTAGGGAACTGTGGAAACGTGATGGCCAGACTCATGTTGAGTTCCTCCGGGAAAAGGAACGGCTCCTGGACAAGTGGCTGCACGCAACCAACACCGAGACAGACTTCAAGAAATTCAAGAACCTCATTCTGATGGAGGAGTTCAAGAACTGTGTTCGTACTGAGGTGCGGATACATATTGCAGACCGTGGCGAAGGTGACGCACATACGGCAGCAGTGTTAGCCGACGACTTCACCATCTCACATCAACTTTCCAAGAATCCATCTGACACCAAAAATGACAGGCACAATAAGACAGCTGTATCAACTTACAGTAAACCTCCACAAAAACCATTCAAGCCCGGTACGAAAGAAATTGGTGCAAAAGACACATGTGCCTACTGTAAAAAAGAAGGACATACGAGGGATGATTGCTGGAAACTCAAGAAGAAAACTGAGAAGACCACACATCCTGGTACACAACACAAAGTCTCCGCTTGTACGTCTCGTCATACATCTGGAAACACATTTTCAAAATTCAAGAGTTTTTGCTCTCCAGATGTCCATACAAACTTCAAAGAGGTTTGTCACGACTCATCAAAGAGTTCCATTATGAACAATAAGGCTAGTTTTACTGACTCCAGCCAAGTTCCTGCTTCGACTGCGAGTTTTATGAGCTTGTCGCCAAGATCCTTTTGCTCCAAGAAGAGGTCTACCTCCAGAGGGCGTTTTACTGAGGACTTGTGTGCAAGTTTTGACGACTCTACCCAGAGTTTTACTTCCTCTACCCTAGCCGAATGTTCTCAAGACTCCAACAAGAGTTTACCTACCAAGGTCCAAAATTCTACATCAGAAACTACTGATGTCATACAAGACTTCATGCCTTTCATATCGGAAGGATTCGTATCACTGCCAGGTGATTTTTCCAGTCTACAACCAATCAAAATCTTACGAGATACAGGTGCTTCACAGTCCTTACTACTTGAGGGTATACTTCCCTTGTCTGAATCTACTGCTACTGGGAGCAACATCCTGTTACGAGGTGTAGAGCTGGGATGCATAGATGTACCTTTACATCTCATCAACCTAAAATCAGACTTAGTCTCCGGACCTGTGGTTGTGGGTGTCCGACCAACATTACCATTGGACGGCATCTCGTTGCTGCTAGGCAATGACTTAGCTGGTGGGAAGGTGATAGCCGAGCCCATCGTTACTCATGAACCTTGTTTAAATGAAAATCAGGAAGAAGATCAAGAATTGTATCCAGCATGTGCTGTGACAAGGGCCATGAGTTCCAAGATCTCCACAAAAGAGATTTCACAAAAAAGCAATAAAATTCTTCCTGAAATTGACCTGGGAAAAACATTTTTTGCAAGTCTAAATGAAGAGGCTAGTAATTACAAGACTCCAACTCGAATGCAACTTATTGAAGAACAGAAGAGTGATCCAGAAATAGTCAAACTTCGAGAGAACGCTTTGACCCAAGAAGAAGCTGAACAATTCCCTATATGTTATTACCTTCAAGATGACATACTTTTGAGAAAATGGCGACCTCCAGACGCAAATGCTGACGAAGAATGGAGGATAGTTCATCAAATAGTAGTTCCTACCCCATTCCGGAACGAAGTCCTGAACTTAGCCCATGACTCACCACTTTCAGGTCATTTGGGAGTAAAGAAGACATATCACAAAATCACGTCGCACTTCTTTTGGCCCAAAATCAAGAAAGATGTGGTTGAATACTGCAGATCATGTCATACTTGTCAGGTTGTAGGGAAACCAAATCAGAAGATACCAGCAGCTCCTCTTCAACCCATTCCAGCATTCGAAGAACCTTTCAGTCGCGTTATTATAGACTGCGTTGGACCTCTGCCAAAGACAAAATCAGGTCACCAATACTTGCTGACAATCATGTGTGCGTCAACAAGATTCCCAGAAGCTATTCCTCTTCGCAATATCAAGACTCCGAACATCGTCAAAGCCTTGACGAAGTTTTTTACATTGTTTGGTCTTCCGAAGTCTGTACAGTCTGACCAAGGAACCAACTTCAAGGCTGGAATATTCAAACAAGTGATGAACCAGTTGGGCATAGAACACTGCTTGTCGAGTGCATATCATCCTGAGTCACAGGGAGCACTTGAGCGATTCCATCAGACGTTGAAGAACATGATGAGAACCTACTGCCTAGAACAAGAGAAAGACTGGGATGAAGGCATCAACATGCTACTGTTCGCCGCAAGAGAAGCAGTTCAAGAATCACTTGGATTCAGCCCCTTCGAACTGGTGTTTGGCCACACGGTTCGCGGTCCCCTTAAACTTTTAAAAGACACGTGGATGTCATCGGCACCCACGGAAGGACTTCTTGACTATGTCCAAAAATTTAAAACTAAACTTTTTAATGCCGTTAATTTGGCTAAAACACATTTAAAAGATTCACAATCTAAAATGAAAGTTTGGTATGACAAAAAGTCAAAATTCAGACAGTTTGCTTCAGGGGACAAAGTGCTTGTGCTTTTGCCGATACCAGGGCAAGCACTACAAGCTAGATATTTTGGTCCTTATGTTGTTGAGTCCAAAATCAATGATTTAAATTACATTGTGTTAACACCAGATCGTAAAAGAAAGAAACAGTTATGTCACATTAACATGTTAAAAGAATATTTTGATAGAAAATGTGATGATCATTGTCCATCCTCAGAAACAAATGTTAACACAATCTCAACTGTAACTTCAGTACTTAAAGAAAATGTTACTGAAACCTTTGATAGTGTCCCAGAAAAAGTTGGTAATTATAAACTTAAAAATTCAGAAATATTGGCCAACTTAGATAAGAAACTAGGACATTTGTCATTGTCAGAGAAGGATGTTGTTAAGTCTGTTATTGCAGATTTTGTTTTACTCTTCCCTGATGTACCTAATAAAACCAACATTGCTGTACATGATGTTGACATTGGCAATGCAGTTCCGGTCAAGCAACACCCCTATAGGGTCAATCCGGAAAAACTTGAAATAATCCGGTCTGAAATAAAATACATGCTTGAAAATGATATAATTGAACCAAGCTCTAGTAACTGGAGTTCACCATGTATTTTAGTCCCAAAGCCTGACAAAAGTTACAGGTTTTGTACTGACTTCAGGAAAGTGAATGCATTCACAAAGACTGATTCCTTTCCGATTCCAAGGATAGACGATCTTATAGATCGAATAGGTGATGCCAAATATGTAACCAAGATAGACTTACTATCAGGTTATTGGCAGGTTCCTCTATCTGACAGAGCAAAAGAAATCTCTGCTTTTTGTACTCCAGATGGTTTATATCAATATAAAGTAATGCCGTTTGGAATGAAAAATGCCCCAGCTACATTCCAACGTCTTGTAAATAACATTATTGCTGACCAGGAAAATTGCAGCGCCTATATTGATGATGTAATTATTTACAGTCAAGATTTTTCAACTCATGTAAACCAATTAAGATCTCTGTTTAAAAAATTTTTGCAGGCAAATGTAACTGTAAATTTAAATAAATGTGAATTTTGTCATGCAACTGTGGAATATTTAGGTCACATAGTGGGTCAAGGTCATGTAAAGCCTGTTCAAGCTAAGATAAATGCTATTGTATCACTTCCACCACCCACTACTAGAAAACAGTTAATGAGATTTTTGGGAATGGCAGGTTATTATAGAAAATTTTGCAAAAATTTCTCAGTTATTGCTTCTCCTTTAAGTAATATGTTAAAGAAAAATGCAAAATTTCATTGGTCAGATGCTTGTCAGGAAGCATTCGAAAACATTAAAAATATACTTGCTAATGCTCCTGTTCTCATTGCACCAGACTTTAACAAACAGTTTAAATTAGCTGTAGATGCCAGTGATGTTGGCATTGGTGCAGTTCTTTTTCAAGAAGATGACCACAATGTAGATCATCCTGTCTCTTATTTCTCAAAGAAATTCAACTCACATCAGAAAAACTATTCCACTGTAGAAAAGGAATGTTTAGGTTTAATTCTTGCTCTCCAACAATTTGATTTTTATGTCAGTTGTTCTTTACATTCAGTACTTGTTTTTACTGATCACAATCCTTTAACATTTTTGAATAAGATGGTCTCCAAAAATCAAAGATTGTTAAGATGGAGCCTATTTTTACAAGAATATAATTTGGACATCAAACATATTAAAGGCAAAGACAATGTCATTGCAGATACTTTGTCCAGAAATTAATTTTCACTTATGTTATTGTTTATAAGCTGTTAAGAAGTTTTTTGTCTAATATTTTGAGAGTAAGAAATGTACTTTCTTCAATTTTAATGGAAAAAGAATTCCATTTTTGAACAATGAAATTTTTTTCTTTTAAGAGGGGAGGTGTTATAGAGAGCTTGTTTACATCATATTTCTCGTGCGTGCCCTCTGATTGACCCCGCATGAGACGCTGTGTTCACAAAGGGGTGTGGCTTAGGTCTTTGAAGTAGCTTGTTTACAGTCGGCTTCCAATTACGCATTGGGTAGATTGTTTTCGGGTAATTTCTGGAATATACTCCTTAACCCGAGAGATGTAAACAACACGTCATAAGCCCTTCTCGAAGCATCTTACTCTACATATATATAAGAGATTGACAGGCACGAGGGGACGGAGATTTTTCACATAGATTTTCTTAACATTACGAGGCGTGTTTTATTCTTTGTGTATTTGTGTGCTCCTACTTATATGTGTTTATTCCGCATTATTTATTGGCATCATTATTTCTAATTGTATTAAGTGTGTACCGGTACGACATCTGCCATACTGTAAGTTGAAGATTGTAATTTTATTTTATTTTATTTTGTAATTATCTTTAGACATAATAAATCTTAATTAATTGTAACTAGAAACTGTTTTGGGTCGTATCTTTAATAATTGTTGATTCTATGGTATCGTCCTTTGTTAGGCACTGTTTACATCGAGCCAAATTAAAATTAAAATAGGAGATTAATTTCTCCCAATACAAGTCAGTGCGTAACAGTCTCCTAGCCCAAAAAAAACCAAATTTGAAAGAAATTTATATTTCTAATTATATGATAACTTTACTAACTGGATGGTTGATTTTAGCCATTATGTCTTGAGGCCACATAGAAGGTGTAAGGGCAGAGAATGGACCTCCAGGAGTGGGAGTGAAATCAGTATGGCTACTATTGGAGCTTGGGTTAACAGAGATACTGACACCCTCACCAGAGGCAGATGTAATGATGTTGTCTTCTTCATCTTCTGACAATGTTTCTACTGTAAATATAAAATAAACTATTGAATAAAAATTACTTCCACATTATTTTTTTTTTAAAATGCTTATAATGTGAATTCCTTAGTCAAAATAAATTAGTTCAAATGTACATATTAAAATAGGCTGGAACAATCAAATTATTTTAATTGTTAATGAATTGTTAAATTCACTACAAAATGTGCAAGGGAAAAATAAAAAGATCTTACACATCTCATAATTTACTTTCCAATTGAACAATGTGACCACACAATGGTCCACCTAACACCTTGCTACAAACCAAGTTTAAAAAACAAAAACAAAGACAAAGGCTATCATGACTGAAAAGAATATTGTAGAAATGTACAATGTTATCTAAACAAATTTCCATTTGGATCAATAAAAGAATCTTATCTATTTAAAAATTGTTTAAGTATCAATCGAGTAAAACCATCTAAAGTTGCTATTTTATACTTCTTTTAATATCATTAGATGCTTTCTTCAATTTAACTTATGGTGGACCTGCTAAAAAAACCTACAACAAACAAAACTACAAGGGTCTGATCTATGGGTTTTTATTTGGTAATTACTAATATAGGAATAGGCTAACCATTTCTACTAAACTAATTCAACTCTAATAGTACTAATAATATCATTTAGTAAAGGCTCTACCATACGCTAACTGAAATGTGAACATGTTGAACATGTTGGCAAACAATAGTAATTAATTTTTAATTGGCTAATTAAGATAAGATGAGATCCAATTCTTTAATTGACCAAATCCTTCCCGGGGCTCTGATTGACAAGCCTGTGGTGGCTTGCCGATTAGGAGGCATCAGCCACCAGACCCCTTCGATGTTACCCGGGGAACAAGACTTGTGTGGGCAGACAAGGGGCATGCATGGTATCTACTGGAATAAAAACAGCACCTACAGGGCTGACAACTGTGACATTTTACAGTTGGAAGTAAAGGCAGAGACAGGGTAATAATCATGATTACAAGTTGCCGCTAATGGATATGAGGCAAGAAGCTAAGGTTGAAGCCATTGGCCTATGATTCTAAATACGCAGCTCTGAGAAAGCCGCAGCTCTGAGAAAGCTGCCCCTAGACAAACATTTCATCCGAACTACTTCGCAAACTAGTTGTGGGGTGGAAACCCACTGAAAAACCCCTCTTAAAGGGCGCTGATGCTTCCCCGAGAAGTGGGTGAAGATATTAGGACGTTAATGTACCATTCCGACTCCCTGGGAGGGTCGGCTGCGGACGCTTCAAACACAGCGTTTTAGATTTGTTTTGCACTCCTTCGTTTTTTTTTCACAACCTCCGCCTTTCAAGCAGTGACATGTCTGCTATCATGATGGCCGTTGAGAATTTGTGCAAAAACATGGTGCAGATTTACCCTTCTTTTAGTTTTTCAGCATTTTTCTTCAAATGAAGGATGTTAAGTTTGGTTGATATTATTTACTTTCTTGATTAGTCAATTTAATCGAGTTTGATTACAGACTTTTAATTCCCACACCAGCAGGTAACTGTAGAATAAGTCCATAACTGTGTAGCTTTTTTATGATAGACAACTCTTTGGGTGACTGTTTTATTATGAATTTAAAAATTAAAAATGAACTTGCATTACAAAAATTCATAGCTACAAAGTGCTAAAAAGTACTAAAGCTATAAAGTTGATTTTGATTTTGCTAATTTAAAGTTTGCTCTATACAATTGTAACGGACTATGTTTTCACATGAAAACAGATAATGTTTTTATATTTGTATATGTAACAGTGTTTTATCTATAAGAGTGTTACTGATGTCACTGTTCATCCTGGGCAAGTTCACAAACATTGAACTTTAAAAAGTATTACACCGGTGTGCGCTGGGTTATAAAACTTTATTGGTGACTCACACACCTGATGGAGCATGCCTGCCCCGTGTTTTACCTAGGACCAACTTGTGACGCAAACATCATAATGGCCATGGATTGGCTAGATAAGGTAGATTCGATATAACCCGATCATTTAGGCATTTATAATTGCTACATTAGGTTTTTATCTTTCACTCTGTCAGTAGTTATGCTAATTTTATATCATGATGTTGTAGAGTATATTTTATCATATCATTGTAATGGTTGATTCCTGTTCAATACTGACCATGTTAAGTAGTGTTTACCGTCACGCTGATGAATGTCGCCCTTCGTGATATCGCCTTAGTTCAACATACGGCAACACGCCATGTCTTTTACAGACCCATGGGTACACCAGTATCCAATTAGCAATATTGTATTTGTATTGCTCGGGTTTGACATACCACCATGCGTAATGGTGAGAGTCAAGTATCTAGAAAAGTATTGTTATCTTCATCATTTGAGTACCTCAGGGTCTCAGTGCTTATTATAGGAACAGGATGTTTGTGAACTTAACTATATTGACAATTTACTGGACGCCCTCGCAACTTAAGTAGATTCAGGGCGCCTTACTCTATACCTCTCATATCAGCTAAGCCCTACAATATAACTTTGGTGATGATGACATATTATTATCGGATTATTTTATGTGCCGCTTGGCTGCTCATGTGGTTTCTACGAGTTTAATGCTACATGAATAACCAGTAAAATACAGCGTTATCCCACATGTTTATTGAATGGTTGCCATACTTTAGATAAACTGTGAACCATTAGATATCCCATTATCCACCATGTGTATTGTTAGTTAATAATACTTGTATGTCTTGTCACTGTAAATAACTTGTACTATATATGTATCTTTTCAGATATGGTCTTTTTTCTCCAGCCTCTTTCTTTGGCATTGTGTTTCACATTCAATGCTTGTACCACACTCTTAGGACCAATAGTGCTATAGTTCTCAGGACCTGATTTTCTTAAGTTTCTAAATAAACCAATTAAAACTGTCAGTCACTCACCAGTCATCTACATAAAATTTTCTTGAATTTTTAATTTTGTTATCCAAGCATATTGAAATTAAAGAACTTTATATTGATCAAAGGTCATGGTAGTTTAATTACTAATACTGTGTTATTAGTCTTGTTAATAAAGTCTTAAACTCTTTCTCTCCGGAATTATCAATTTTGCATTTTTGTAACACATTACTATGTTGTCTCTAAATCTTCATAACTTTTTTGTTTTTCATCAGAAAGTGCTAAGTTTGGCATGTAATTAAAGGAGAATGTATGCACTTTACAAGCAAACAAGAGTTGGGTTTACATTTTAATATATATATGTGATTATCATTTCAGAAAAATAAAAATAAAAAACTTACCAACTGTTCACAAAACGCTCATTCCAAGTCACACGAGGAGAAATATATTTATAATATATAATCCAAAATGTAACAAAAATATTTTTTTCTGAACTATATCCTTATGTGCATCACAAATAATAAAGATCAACTTAAAAAACGAATCAAATTAAACCTCAGAGCACTTATCCATTGTCACCGTCACACAATAAAATTTGCGAACAAAATTTAACTATTTCCACTGCCACTGGAAACAATTTGTTGCCATTATAAAATATTATATAATGTATTTGCAATGTATTCTTGTATGTACTAACATTTATAATGGTAAATGGAACATTTACCATACATTTGTCATATCTTTTCATCTGTATTTAGCTATGGTAAGCTTAAAAACAATTCATATCGATGTGCACTTTAGCTGGGGGATGTGCTGGTTGTTCATCAGCTGATGAATTACCAATTTCATTATTTCGTCACTAGTACTACTAATACTAGTACTAGGATTATAATCATACTATTCAAAGGAATCCGCTTCTGCATTTGAAATAATAAAATCACTGTCTGAATCATCATACGAGTAATATTTTCAACCTTTATTAGATCGATCACCAGATGGGTCAGTTCAAAATTTCATGTTTGTAAACAAAAATAAAATGGAAAATCATAACAACCACTTCAAACACTTCGTTCTCTGCAAAACTTATTTCAAACACCGATAAACAGAATGTTGATACAAAGGGAAATCATTCCGGAATTGATTTTAAATAACTAAAATCCAATAGCTAAGAAAAGAGAGTCGAAATAAACAGGTTTTTATACATTGATGATGCCATCGTCGATACGGCACGGCAAAATCTTCATTTCAAATCGACGATGGGAGCGTTGTTCCGGAGAGAAAGAGTTAAACTTGTGAATTTGTAAAAAAAAAGTAATTAAAGTATCAAAACTTGTGAACAACAAGAAGGAAACTTTGGTTTATAATGAGGAGTGGCCAATTTTTGGAACAGCAGTGTGATACTTATAATTCAAATGAGATTAGCCTTACTAACTTACTTAAATATATGATCATCAAATATTATAATTATATATAATATATTTACTAGTTTCATTGGTTCGACTAATTGAAATTGTAATGGCAATGGTGAAAGTGAAAGGCACACGTTTTTTTTTAATTAATACATTATTATTATTATCATTCTGTAATTTATTTTTTGTTGTACACAAGAAACACTGTTTGAAGGCCCAGTTAATTGGCTGTTTTGACCAAGACTAAGACATAAACTTACCTTAAAATAGACTTAGTTACCGTGTTTTTTTTTTTCTTTTTGGTTAGTTAGGCGACTGCTATTTTTTTATGCAGCTATCAAAACAAATTACCTTCTCTGGCTTTACTGCTATAACCCTCATTTGTATGGTCTCCAAACATCGCTTTAGCAATATCCATTGCAAAAGTGGATGGGAAATAAAAATTTCGTTATTGCCTGTGTCAGTTTTTGTTTACAAACTCATTTTATCGTCATCAACAGTCATGTGTATCCTCTCTCGACTCAGCAACTTATTAGCAATGATTGCCAAATAAATGTTGTTACATGGTTTCAAAAAAGAGTTCAAAAAATATTTTTTTCCATTCAAAATTTTTAAACGTAAATTTCAATCAAAGATGAATAATATTATGTGATAGATAAATCAAAAGTATTTAAATTGATTGTTAAATCTCGAAAGACAAATCATGAATTTATTACTATGAAGAAATAAATAAATATAAAAATGAGGCATACAAATGACAACGTGTCGCATTGAATTTAGTAAATTTACTCTTAATAAGGTAACAGAAATAACGAAACAACTAATTTTCAGTCAGCAATTTACTCCATTAATTTTTTTTTAAATTTATTATTTTTTTTTATTTGAAATTCATATTGTTTTTAACTGTTATTAAAACATATGAGGCATAGGGAACCCTTTCATCGTCACATAAGGGCATGATATAAATATTTGTTGTTAAAGTGTACAGATTATTCATTAAAAGGTGTTTTTAGTCAAGCAAGGGCAAGAGAGCATATTCAGTACATAAATTTGGTATATTAATGCCTTAAGCAATACACTCCCATTAAAAGGAAACTATTTGAACTCCACTCTTACGCGCCTCACTGTAACGAGATATCGGAAATATAACGCGGTCGTAGTATAACTCCCAAAATTATAACTTAATTTTGAACAATCTCGAATGAAATAGAACAAGGTATGTTGAAGTTTGAATCAAAAGACAGGACAATAAGATGTGAATGTTTCGGCGTAGAGCCTTCTTCAGCAATTAACTAATTATTATAAAAAGTGTTGGACTGTGATTAAGCTTTAAAATATATTAAATAGACACCAACAATTTGTGTCAATCTAACAATATAAGATAAGCTTTAATAATAATTTTACAGAATACAAAAGTATACCTTTATGTGCATGCCTTCATCAGTAAAACAAAAACACAAATAAGTATTAATTAAATTTACATTATATATATATATATATATATATATATATATATATATATATATATATATATATATATATATTATGGGATCCTTCCATATACGTGAGACGATGGAGTAGCTATATAGTTCTACACTTTGACGAGTGGCTCACTAGGCCAATCCTTGAATGGCAAACACGGCCGCATCTCTCGCAGGAGAATGTTGAATCCCGGTAAATTCTTGATTTTCGAATTGTTCTTTTTGATTCGAGGGCCTCGTTTGGAGTAACTTCTGCCTTTTTCACTCCTCCAAACACTGCTGTACGCCAGTTGGAGTGATGTTCGGCAATGAACTCCCATTCGTTTGTTTCAATATTGGCTTCCCTCATGCTTCGTTTGCAAACGTCAATAAATCTCAGGCGCGGTCGTCCAATATGTCTTGTCCCCTCTGCCAACTCTCCATACAGCAGAATCTTTGGGATACGTCCTACCTCCATTCTCCGTACATGACCTAACCAGCGAACGCGCCTCTTGATAAGAAAGGACAATATGCTAAACAGGTGTGCACGTTCCAAGACCTCCATGTTAGGCACCCTGTCCTGCCAATGAATGCGCAAAATGCGACGCAGACATCTTTGATGGAAGCTGTTGAGTTTCCGCTCCTGACTGGTATATGTGGTCCACACTTCGCTACCATATAGGAGCGTGCTAAGCACGCATGCCTGATTAACACTTATTTTTGTTTTATCAGTTAGATTGAGATTATTCTATACCCGCTTATTCGGTTTAGCCATAGTTGCTGCTGCTTTTGCAATCCTGATATTGATCTCTTCATCAACGGAGAGCGAACTAGAAATATTGGATCCCAGGTATATGAAATGATCAACAACCGAAAAATTATGACCCTCAATAGATATGATTGGAGGGGGCGGTGCTTCTTGCATCATTACATGAGTTTTCTGTAGACTAATCGAAAGACCAAACTCTTTACAAGCATGTGATAGGCGATTAACAAGCCCCTGCAGACCTTCTTCTGTGTGAGATGTTAAGGAAGCATCGTCAGCGAGCAGCAGTTCACGAATCAGCACCTTTTTTACTTTGGTCTTTGCACGAAGGCGGGGGATATTGAACAGTCTTCCATCAGATCTTGCGTGGACGTACACTCCATCTTCACAGTCACTGAAAGCAAATTGAAGGAGCATCGACAAGAACATTGAAAAGAGCGTTGGTGCCAGTACACAACCCTGTTTTACTCCGCTTCTAACTGGAAATGACTCAGAGACAGTGCCATTGAAAGTTACTATGCTGTGCATGTTTTTGTGAAATGACTGTATTATTGTGAGCAGTCGTGGGGGACAACCTATTCTTTGCAGGATACTGAAAAGGCCTCTTCGACTTACCAAGTCAAATGCCTTGGTCAGGTCTATGAAGGCAATATAAAGAGGCATATGCTGTTCGCGACATTTCTCCTGCATTCGGCGTAGCGAAAATATCATGTCTATTGTTGAGCGCCCACTCCTGAAGCCACACTGGGACTCTGGGTAGATGCGGTTCGCAAGGCTCTGCAATCGTTTAATGGCAACCCGGGCAAAAGTCTTTCCAACTAAGCTAAGGAGAGAAATACCTAGGTAGTTATTGCAATCGCTTCGGCCCCCTTTATTTTTATACAATGTTACGATGTTGGTGTCTCTCATGTCCTGGGGAATGTGACCTGTTTCCCAACACAGACAGAGGAGCTCATGTAAGGGCTGAAGTAGGATAGGTTTTCCATTTTTGAGGATTTCCGCTGGAATGCCGTCGATCCCTGGAGCCTTCCCATCCGCAAGGTAATCGATGGCTTTTTCGAGCTCCTGTAAAGTTGGCTCTTCATCCAGTTCATTCATTACTGATAAGGCAGGAATATTATGGAGAGCGGTCTCATTAACTACATTCATTGTAGAGTATAGCTCAAGATAATGCTCTACCTAACACCGTAGTTGATCGTTTGGATATATACAGATATCCTATTTTTCTCCCCTTTTCAATTTCTCGTTCTCCTTTCGTCACGTCGATCAATGTGAAAATACGGGGTTGAATCCAAGCTTGTTACTCTAGGGTGCACCACAATAGAAATGAATTCAGTTTATGTTTTACACTGTGCGCCATAATGCCTTCCCCGGAAGCTGAAAAAATTCCATCTACCCATCAAATAGTCTAATTCAGGTATGTACAAAAGGTACTTTCTGGCTCTCCAGACCCCCTTACTCTGAAAAGCGATTTCTGCCCTATTTCTCAATAAAAATGACAGTACAGATGTCCCCGATCACCAATTTTTGTATCCATAGATAAACTGCATAGCGGCTTAGCTAGTGTTAGGGCCACTCTGGATGGGGCAAGATTTTTGCCACGCTCCTTTCACGGTACCATCTCTGCAGTTGACCGAAAATTCCCCACCTTCATATATGCCTAAACAAAAAGTGACACGTGGGCGGACCACCAAATTCTAAGCCCCTGGCGGAAGCGTAGCTTGAGTTCTTTAGCAGCCAGGGGACAAGATTCATTTTACGCCCCCGCCCCTACTTTTCTAAATCCAATTTATTTTCATAATTTAAAAAAAAAACATCAAAGCCCATTTGGCACCCCGCTAGTCTTGCCCCAGAAATCTCTCTCTCCCCCCCCCCCCTTTAAAACCCGTCCCTTAGCTATGGCCCTGGCCGCTGGCACTGCCCAAATTTGAAATCCAGCCAACCCTTTGCGGAGAAAATTGTCTGAAAGAAACACTGGTGCTGGAAAAAAGGTAACAACGAAAAGACAGAAGATTTTCAAAATCCAATTTATTTTCATAACTTAAAAAAAAAACATCCACGCCCATTTGGCACCCCGCTAGTCTTCCCCCAGAAATCCCCCTCTCCCCCCCCCCCCTTTAAAACCCGTCCCTTAGCTATGGCCCTGGCCGCTGGCACTGCCTAAATTTGAAATCCAGCCAACCCTTTGCGGAGAAAATTGTCTGAAAGAAACACTGGTGCTGGAAAATAGGTAACAACGAAAAGACAGAAGATGCTAGAAGAAAGTGGTTACCGTATTAGCGGCGAATGATATCAGTACTTGTAGTTATGAACTAAGAAACATTGGGTGTGGTGGGATGGGATGGAGTAGGGTGTGTGACAACATCGTCAATGACAAGTGAATGAAAAAAAAATCCAAATTCATTTTCAATCGGTGACATGCAGGAATCCAATTAACTCCAAAATGTTCATTTAAACATATCCACTTCCTCAGATATGACAACACCCACACTAGCCACACCCACTCCTGACATACTGACCCAGATATGCCAACTAGTCGCAACAAATCCTGACACAGCTGTGTCAACTAGTCACACCCACTCCTGACTTACTTTCTCAGATATGCCAACTGGTCGCAACAAATCCTGACACATCAATGTCAACTAGACACACCCATTCCTGACTTTCTTTCCCAGATATACCAACTAGACACACCCACTCCCGACTTACTTATCCAGATATGTCAACTAGCCATACCCTCTGCTACTAGACACACCCACTGCTGCTAATCACACCCCATCCTGACTTACAGTTGAGTTCGTTGTTGGCAAACTTGTGAGGGTAGTAGTAGTAAAAATCACTGTAAGCCTCGACAGCTGTGTGAGTCGGGACTGAATTGCTCCTGGGCCTCATTTTCACAAACTGCTCCGGCCTGTTGATATCTCTGACGTCATGTCGACGACAGTTGGTCAAGTTTTCACATAAGGAGAGCATTTTTTCTCGAGGACTATGGCGGCATTGTTGATGTTTTTTCCTTTCTATTTTCTACAGGGCGAGGCTATTTTCAAAAGAAATCATTTCGTCCATTAATTCTAAAAAAGGTTCTTTTTAAAAAATCGTTTGAACATTATTTTTAAATATTCTGATGTGCGCAGTTTTCCCGCTTGTTTCAAAAGATTTCTAAAATTAAATCAAAGCTCTATTCATAAATTTATTTATTATTTTTATAAGCTCACATAGCTTACTATTGTTTTCTTTACCCTTTTAGTAGTATTCGTAAAGTAACACTAACGTTGGTAAATAATCTTATACTAAAAATTCCATGAATAATCTCAAAACAGCTGTACGACT